CCAAAGTCAAGAAACAGCAGAGCGGTGCGTTGAAGGATTCTCACCAACTTCGGGTACCTACCGAGTAGCTGGGCCAGGTCCCATAACTTGGCATGTAGGGAGCAGTACCAATGTTTCTGTTCCATGTTACCATTCCCTGGAGCCTGGAGACAGGGCAACGACTCACGACTGGCGCAAACAATGGGTGTCAAAATGATCCACCGACCCGCTGTTGATCTTTTTTCTTTTGCTTGTCTGGGGTGGGTGTTGGTATTCGCTGCATCATCTACGCTTATGGGGACACAAGGGAGGCAGTACTCTATGTATATGACAGGTAATACGCGCACAGGATCACGGTGAACATTCACATTATGCATTATTTCGCCTTGTCATAAATCAGACGTGTACCCATATTACAGGACCATGACTCCGTAACGGCCCCAATGCTCCCAGAGCTGTCGAACACTCATAGAAGGGCAATGGAGAGACGACAGGTGGGAATTGTGTCCAATGTACAATGTAAGACAGTGGAGGCGGGGATCGATGCATGTTTCAAAATTATGCGGATTCTCCTGAGTTGTCGGGTTTGATTGCCGGAGTCGTATTAGGCGCATGGCATCTCTAAAATAAGACAACAAGAGAACCCGAGATGGGTGTCAACAGGTGCTGAGTTTGGATTGTCATGCAGGTCGAAGGAAACGACAACACGTCATCAGTTTCTCTCGTACGGGGGAGGGGAGTATATACACTTGAGCAGACTGCAAATGGTAGGAAGACTGTAATACCAGTCTCAAGTTCAATCCAAGCAGCGACAACTCGAAGCGGTGGTAACGTCGGATTCTGGTTTCTAGACGAGAGGGGAGGGCGCGACCTTGAGGACTGCCGCATCGTACTCTGTAGACCGTCCTATTTTCGTTGATTGAGTTGGAATGACTGCGCATTGTTACTGGGCAAAATCGGGACAGCTGATCTGTCAAGTTGGTTGCTCAATGGCCACACCCATGTACACATTGTAAAATGAATGATTAGCGAAACCAACCGAGACTTGAATGGAAGTGCGTCGGGCCGCACCCCAAATTTGCATCACAAGTCAAATATTCCATCAGCCGTCATATTTCCACCGGGCGAATCCGTCCGTGTTGCCTCTGAAAGCAATTGAAATGAACAGGATGCGAAAGCAGGGCCAACGGGGTTTTAGTTGCGAGTTGGGGGCTCTGTACGTCTGCTGCTTCTCTGCTGGAGTGCTTCAGGATCCGGGAACGGGTTGGAAGCATGCGAAGAAGGAAGAAATAATTCAAGATTCGGTTGCCATCTGAGCCAAGGGCATTTCTTGTTGATGGTAAGCTGGAGAAACAGAGCAGTTCCTTCACAGCTGTGTCAAACCGTTGAAACTTAGGGAGTACGGAGTAGTCTGGTCGACAAAACTGTGGGAAAACGTACCAGGTTCTGCCTGAGCAAGGTTTCCCGGTGCTCTTTTGATCCCGGTCACCAAACCATATTACCCAAAACGCTTTAATATCTTCGCGCCTCATCGCGTCTGTAAACTTCCACTCAAACTGAAACTGCAACTGCAACTGCAACTGCAACTGCAACTTGCCCTGGTCCGGTTTTCTACACCGGCTACGTGTGACCCCAACAACACGGTGCGGACGGGGTTATGGCATGAGATCATTTGAATCAATTAACTGAGGACCAGTCACAGGGCAAGTTACCCTCAGGAGCGTATGCGGAGAGCCTTGAGCAGAGAGGCTAGCTATAGTTTGTAGACATGAGTATTCGACCACCCGGCGGCGTTGAATTACTCCAATGAAGTTGAACACCTATGCCTCTCCATCGTAGAAAGAACTCGTTAGTGATGATAGAGTTGACTAAAGAGGATGAAGCAGGGATACGACTGATCAGCGAAAAAACAAGTTATGGGTTGGGTTTCCTGGGCTGTGGATGAGTCGGGCGTGATTGCACAGGGCTGCTCGGCTCGGCTTCTATTGTATCCGGCCTTGTATTCTCCGAAGCAAATTATCGCCAAAACAAGTGATCTGCGCGGTGCCTTCATGTCCGTAGGTGCCGGGTGCTCCAAGGGCATTATATTTGCGCATTCACTGCCTGCAGCAACGTGGGGGTTTCAATCAATGGAGCAGCTGCAATAGATGTTTGCCGAGTACTCCGTACCGGAATATTCTTAGATCGGAAACGCACGAGTCTGTACGGAATAGAGAAACTGCGAGCCAAAGTCATCACCACAAACATGGGCTCGTATGGCTTCTGTGCCAAAGCGTCTTCGGAGGCAAGCCGCAACTTGGCACTTGTCAATGCCAAGCGCATCATCTGAGGTTTTTGTCCAGCCCACAGCTTTACTCGATGGCTGCCGTCTTGCCGTGGGCGTCGGGCGACAGAGTCGGGCAGATTCAAAGAAGTACAAGTCAGATAAGCTTCCATCGCGTCCCACCGCACTGGAGTTCGGTGCGATATGCGAAGCGACGCCAGAATGATACCAGATGACCCAGCGTCATCGCCCGTGCACGGTGATTCGAAGTAGCGTCTAATATGAGATGATGGAAAGCAGCTTTCAGCGTCCAACCTCTTTTTTGCAGCGGACTACACAACAGTGCAGCGAATGCACGAGTTACGCCTTCCATGAATTGAACGTGGCTTCATCAGGGGCAGACGCCGTGATCCTCGAACGACGCGCGTAACATCTACTGACTTTACGCAAAGTTGGGGTAAAACTGGCGATTATCTTTGATCCGGCATCTTTCACCTCCCACCAAGGCCTGCTTCCAGTTTTCCGGGGTCCAACCTTGGTGAAGTAGTACTACCGCAATGGAGGACCGGCCAGGGCACTCCACACAACGCGAAGAGTACTAGTTTGTATTGTAGTGAGAATCACGGACGGTCCCAGCGACGAAACAATGCGCTAGTAGTATGTATTCAACAGTGGTGGGTGGAGGCTGAAAGAATCGACAATCCACGACCACCATGTGCTAGTACTGTAGAAAAGCACCTGGCTGTGCCGGGCACTGTTGGCTGCCTTCCTAGGTATCTAGGCAGGTACCACTAGTAGTAGTAAATGAAACGCTGTGACGTTTTTATGGCATTAACGGCGGGCGTCTTTGACTAGGCTGGCGTTTGTGGGAATTAATACAAGCCAGTGTGATGGTAATATGTGATGACTGGTAGCCAGGCGGGTGATGAGACCTAGCAATAAAAGCATTAGAGCCTCGGCATGTTGACTTCTTCTTTGCAGACAAACAAAATGTACCAGCAATTTTGCCGGTGAGCCCAACGGACGACGTGATTGGCATATTGCCCTCTGCCCAAGCTTACGAAGCAGGCGTTTGGACCCCCTTGCATTAACGTCCGCACCTTAGCCTTAGTGCTGGTTGTAGGAAAGATTTTTTGATTGTTGTTTCTTTGGGCCATAGATGCTGCAGCATGTTCTTTTCCTCGGCCCCCCTTTGTTTGTGGTGTATGTACTCCGTCGACTGACTGACTAGCATTGCTTTTGTCGGCGCAGCCCAACAGGTTGCACGAGGCTGAATGGTGTGGGCTGAAATGTTGAAGCCCCCTGGGCATCTTTTTTCCCTGGCTGGCTGGCTGGCTGGGTTTTGAGGTCCTGTCTCCCTTCTCTCAGTCCTGGTGCCAGCAGAGACAATTTCCCTGGCCGGGACAACACGGTAATCTATTGGCGGTCATGGTGGTCGCAATTGCGCGCGCCTGGGGGCCCCTGCGCATGCTCACGGGTCGGTGCAGAACTCGTCCCACCGTTCATCAGGCCCATCGACAACGAGGGAGAATTTAGGTGCAATACGAGGTGTCGAGCTGGTTGGCATTACGCTGAATGGAGAGAGAAGGTCGACGATGCGATAACTGCCGTTGGAGGTGGGGATGTAGGTGCTCAAAGTTTCAATAATTTCACAAGTAACTTTGGAGTATGCAGAGCAGAGCCCCCGAGCATTGCAGGACAAGAAACAGTCTAAAGTTGGAAGGCGCGGCCTGGCAGTTCTGGTTTGTCTGGCTCCTGCCCCCCCCCGTCCGGGCCTGGCCATGTGCGGTCAGCCCAGGTGCCTGGGCCATGCCGAGAATCTGAAACGGCGTACCGAGGACTTTGGCTTGTCGAAGACGGGCCGCACCAGGACGGGTACCCAGGTACTTCAAATCCTGCTGGGGACAACGGTTATGCTGGCCCGGATTGGCCCCTCTAACGGACAGAGTGGTGGTGGACCGCCTTCTCCAACGCCAAAACGCCTCAACTCTCCAAGTGGCGTTCCTTCTTCCCACTTTCCCCTGACGGGATCCCCATGCAACCCTGCTCGACCCTGCTCGCCTTTGATCGACCTCGACGACTCACGACGCATTACACGACGCACCGCCGACATGGCTCACCCGAACTGTGGGCTCTTCAAGTGCGGCATCCTTGTCTCTCCCATGCAGCCTCGAGCTCTGTGCTCAATTGCTGCGTCCGCCATGTCCGGCCATTTCAAATCTTGCTCGCTCCCCTCCTTTTGGCGTGGGCAAAGACCCAGGTCCAAGTGCTCTCTTGTCTCCGTATCGTACAAACGGCCCTGCGATTGTGGGCTCCCGTCCAGTCTTTGGAGGAAGAGCTCACCTGTTTGGGTCGGCTGTGAACCTCCCATGTCCTGGATGCCCCCCAAATCTTAGACAGGCTCGTCCCCAGTCTCTCTCCTCTAGTTTCTACACTCTCCGTGTCTCGCCAGTCCCGGTTGTCTGTCTACTTCACCCTCATCGGCTCTGAAAGAGTCCTCGGAGACCTCTTTCCGACCCAGGCTGTTCTTTGTTCGTTCTTCATTCTCCTTGCTCATTTTTCTTTTCTTCGCGGGTTGACCTCGACCGAGTCCACCGATCGACAAAATTCTACCATATCTATCATTTATTCCCCGTCGAATGGCTAGTTGCACGCTTTTGACCCTTTCGCCACGTTGAGTGCAAAAGACATTTCAATAGGGGCGTCGATTACGACACGAGCATTCCATCACGACAACCCTTAATTCGAATTGCCCGTTATGGCTCCGTCGTTGAATAACCATTCTTCTTTTACCCGCCCTCGCACTGGCGACCGTGATGGCCGGCCCAGCACGCGCGACCAGGCCGGCGCGGATATGCTTATTCCCAGTCGGACTTCGTCACTGCACTCTCGTATCACGCAGCCAATTCCATCGACTTTTAACGTGAAGCCTCAACAGCGAACACCAAAGACTCTTACTCATGCCTATATGGTGTGCGGCGTCGGCCGCGAGCCGTCGCAATGGGTGAAGGCGCCGGCTCCCGCTCAGGGCAAGATTGGCCATATGAAGGGTGCTGTTGGTCAATTTTGGCTCCCTGAGATTCTCGGCAGCAGCCCTCGTCTGGAGCAAGATAACGAGATTGCTCGCGCTCTCCATTCCGCTATGAGGGTCAGTATTGAAAGGAAAAAAACGAGAACCCCATAAGTATGCGGTGAAGAGTAAGAAACATCTGACACTATTATCTAGGCTTGCTTTCCGCACGATGTTGAGATTTGCACTGGCAGGAGCCAACCCCACTGCGTTCACCACGCTTTTGTGCTCCAGCAAGACTCTTCTCACACCTTGTACGGCATCTGCCTCCGAGTTTGGTCTCGAGCCGACGAAAAGAGGGCTGAGACCATCCGGGACTTGCGCAAGAGGACCGAGTCTGACTTTTATGACAACCCAGACGAGACTTACTGGATCCCTTACTGCCTGTCCTTCCTATCCCGCTACCCCCTTTACAACCTCCTGGGCGACTATCTGCGAGGCATGTGGATTCACTGGAATAAGGCTACCAACTTGTTTCACGCCGAGGAAGTCTCGCGTATTCTGAGCTTCCCGGCTCCTAGGCTGAACGACTTGGTCCGCATTGACATGAAGGACTATGCTCTCTGCTACCAATTTCCTTCCTCCCCTACTGGGTTCCAGAATTTTTCCATGTGGCCGCTTTTCAACTGCTTGTCCATCCCCAACATTGTTGGTGTTATTGAGGCAGCCATTTCTCCGACTCGACGAATCATCTTTGTGAGCCACTATGCCGCCATGCTCACAATTGCCGCCGAAACAGTGCGGTACTGCGTCCGAGTTTACGAATGGAGCGGTCTTTACGTCCCGGTTGTACACGCCCGCCATGCACAGGAGCTTGTTCAAGAGCCCGGTCCTTATATCTTGGGTGTGACTGCCGAGTGTCGATCTCTCTTCACTGCCCCTACTGACGCTTTGGTTGTTGACCTGGACCGCAACTTTGTTCTCACATCTAGCCCACCTACTGCGCTTACTCCTGGTCAGCGCAACAAATTTGTTACTCGCCTGACTCAGTCTCTCAACGGCGACGTCACCCCTGCTGGCGTTCCCCATCATCTTCGATCAGCATATGGCGGCGGCAAGCTGGTCCCTGCTGGTCAGATCATTGTCATGCGCGGAGAAGTTGAGTCTATCCAGGACCCTGAGTGGTGGAACCAGGATGCGATTATGGCTGTTATGGACCATGTCTGCGAAAAGACGGGCCGCAATACAGGTATCAAGGCCGTATTCGGCGGCTCTGTGAAGAAGCCTCTCATGACCAAAGTTTCAATGAGACATCTCAATGAAATTGTTCGAGAGCGAAATCAGTATTCTCGTGACGCTCTCGAAGCGTGGCAAGATTTCATCAATCTCAAGGGCCGCATGGACACGGAGCTCAGCAAGGTCAACAAGAGAAACAACTATCTTGTCGAGGAGCTCGAGAGCTGGAAACAGCAATTCCTCAAATTCCAGGCCTTCGCTGAACAGCTTACCAAGGAGACACAGGATCTCAAAGTCAAGATTGAGACACACAAGAGAGAGAACCGCCGACTTACTGGTCTCCTTGACCAACAGAAGGATGATAATGCTCGCATGTCTGTCCGTCTTACCGGCACTGAGAAGCAGCGTGATGATGCTCTCATGGCTCTAGTTCTCCAGCAGGAGATGGCCGAGGATCTTGAGCGTGAGAGACAGAGGAACAAGAAGGAGCTTGCCCAGCTCAGCCATACCAATTCTACTCTCTTGCGACAACGTGACGAAGCTCGCCGTGTGGTGATGCATCTGCAGAGTTTGATCGGTGGCCAGAGCCACCACATGGAGCATCTCATTCATTCTCTTACTAAGCCTGACGAGCTGGTTGCCGAGGTTGAGGCAGGCTATGAGAGTGATGAGCGGGGGAGCTCGGATGGCGCGTCTGGCGACGATAATACGAGCCAACTGAAATCTCCACGCAGCAAGCGACTCTCTGCGGCTAGCTTTGCTGACGTTGCCGACCGTCACCTCAAAGACAAGACTGATGCTATAGCCCATATTGTGCGCAACATTGCTGACCAGTGTCAGGCCGCTGTGGAGAGCCTGCAGCTGGCCCACGATGCTGAGTACCGATCAAGCCGACGTCACAGCGGCCTGTCCAATACTCAGAGTGAGGACGGCCATGACGACCGCTCTGTTGCCACCTCAGATAATGGCGAAGAGAGACGCCTCCAGCCTGGACGTACGTCCAGCATCCCTCCTACTCCGGATCTGATCCCCAACCGCAGCAGCACTGCCATGTCCTTTGCTTCGGCTACTACTACACCTGAGCGATCTAGCCAGCAGTATAATTTGAAGGACGAGATCCCCACAAAGATTGTCGAGGACGACGAGGAGGACTACGAGGAGAACCGCAGTGAGGGCGGCGGCGGCGCCACCAATGAGAACGGCGTTGTAGCCAAACACACCGAGTCGCTCTTGCATCGCCCATCTGGTGCCAGAATCAGCGCTCTTGGGGCCAGCGGCACTCGGTGAGAAACAGTAGAGCGACCTGCTTGAGGAATGATATGATGAAGGGGGTGGTTATTAGTGCCCAACAAGAACCTGGCTCCTCGGGATTAATGGGAGCAACGAAGCCGACGACAGGCAGACGACAGGCAAACTTCTGTCAATGCTGATTACTTACGAGGTTGCCAACCGCAATTTTTTAAACTTACCTGGACGACTGTTGACACGGTGATTCACTTATATCCGATTGTGTATTGCTGCACTTTTTTATTTATTTTATTTTATTTTTTCATACTTTTGTATCTTCATTTCATATTGACGACACGAAAGTCGGGATATTGGTCACTCCGTCTTGACCTATTTTCGGGATTTTCTTTCTTGGATGGAGGCTGTAAAAACTTTTGGTCTTTCCTTGGCGTTTTCCCCCTCGCAATGCCTGAATTTTTTCCTAGTTTGCAGTCTGACCTATTTGTATTTATCTTCTCTATAGCCAGAGGCACTTGGGTTTTCCAAGACAAACACATATCTGGCTCAATAGGCAGTGTTGAGTTGTGCCAGGTATGATGACGTTAGCCTCTCAGCGAGACGCCAAACAATTTATGACAAATTTTTGAATGAAGACATAGTAGTGAAGTGGCCATGTTAGTTACAGCCGAGATCGGCTCGATGGCGAGGTGAGGCAATGCAAGATTCAGCTGAGACATTGGGGGGCCATGCGTGACGTGAATTGCTCGGCGGGCTTACTTTTTTTGCCAGATGGGCTCGCGTTTTAGTACCTAAAAATTTAAATAATGTATAATTTAAATTTTTTATTTATTTTAAAATATATAAAAATATATTTACTTACTTAACAACTAGGTCCTAGGTAGGGCGTGAGTGCACCTAGCAAAAAGAGTAAGCCCACCGAGCAATTCACGGCATGACGTCCCGCGACCCAACATTTGAGTGTCAAGCCACCGAAATCCGCAGCAGTCCACAGTTTTCCCTCCTCTTGACAGGGGGCCGTTTTTGTGGCCCCATGAAGCGACAGGACTAAAAAAAAAAAGCCGACAGAGAAGCAGAGCCCCGAGGCGCAAAGTGACATCGCAGCGATCACCGAAGCTGGCAAAATCTTCATCTCCTCCTTCATACCTACAACGCCTACAAGCATGGCGGACCCTCTTCTCACATCCCTCTGCTCAATATGCCACGTCTCGACCCCAAAATACAAATGCCCCCGGTGCAACATTCAAACCTGTTCCCTGCCGTGCGCCAAAAAACACAAAGCCTGGTCCGAGTGCAGCGGCCGACGCGACCCGACAACCTATGTCCCACGTTCGAAGTTGCGCACCGCCGCCGGCGTCGACCATGACTACAACTTTCTCCACGCCATTGAGGTGTCTGCCGAGCGCTCCGAGAAGATGCTCGTTGAGGAAAAAGGCCTCGTGCAGCAGGCGGAGCTGCGGCCGTTGACGATCCAACAAGTTCGATGGAAGATGGGGCGTGATGGGAGGAAGAGAAAAGTGCTGGTGACGAGAGTTTTGCGGGAGGCCAAGGGGAGGACATTCGAAAAGGGGCTGGCGCAGAGACTCAAGAGACTGAACGTGCAGATTGTTTGTGCGCCGCTGGGAATGGCCAGGCAGAGGGAGAATTCCACCAAGCTGAACCGGAGGACGGGGAGGATTAACTGGCAGGTTGAGTGGCTGGTGGTCGGGGGAGAGAAGGAGACAGCAAGGTCATTGAGCAAGGTCATGGATGACGTTCCGCTCTTTCAAGCATACCCGGCGATGCTGGAAGAAAAGGCTCGTGCAGAGACGGGATCGCGGAAGCAAGAAAGGCATATGCGGGCCTGGGAGGTGCAGAGCTGGGCTGATTCGAGGTGGAATCTTGGCTTGGATTGTATGCAGGATCCGGTGGATGGGAAATGGTCGTTATTTTCTGGGGGACGTGTCGAGGACTGGCCTGCAGAGAAGGAGAAGGCCCAACGACAGCAATTTCAGTTTTTCCTCGCGGGACCTCTCGCAAGGTCCGATATGCCTGCACAAGTTACGGCGCTGGAGGCTGGGGACTGCCTCCGCGATATTCTGGCCAATACCCGGGTCTTGGAGTTTCCTACCATCTACGTCCTCAAGCGTGGAGACAGGCTTCCTCCGGGATTCGTCCTAGGACCAAAGGACTCGGTTCCCCCGCAGACCCAAAGGACAAAACGCAAGGATGGGCCATCAAACACACAATTTCAGGCATCATCGAAGCGTAGGAAACAGGGTAGAATGGACCGCGAAGAAGGGGAAGTGGGCACTGACGAGGATAGAGAAGACGGTCTGGATGAAGAGACTGAATCTAAGGGAGTCAGTTTGGAGGCCGCTGAGGTTATAGCTGAGCAGAGCTTGGGAGAGGAGGAGGATGACGATGACACTAGCAGCTCTGGGTCGGATAGCGAGTCTGACTGATGTTCATGATACCCGAGATATGTGGGCTGTAGACTAGGTCGGCGCATCGCATCGCGGACTACATGCTGAGATAATTGATTGAATACGCGGCCTTCATAATACCTGGTGCACACGCGTTTGGGTCAACGATGGGCGATTGCCCACTTCCCAGCAACCAGACCCAGTTGCAGACCTGGACACTTCAATGTTGGCACGTGCCCCACTGTGATGCTTTGGTGTGGGGGCAAGCGGCGTAACACCAACGGCCTCCTGGCTCTCGTCCCAACGACATCGCATCCGACAATACTACACCACCCTCGGCGACTACGCGCCGGCCTCGCGCCCAACTTGCGACAAGCCACATTGTTGGGAGACACACTCTGGCAGAGACTTTCTCCTACCATGATATGATCGCATAGAGCCAGCCTGTCCGCTTACCCCGCCCACCATGGATGACGGCCCCGTGCCCAAGCTGTCCGAACTGCTTCGGCATCCGGACGACCTCGACAAGATCCCCGCGCTGAAGCTGGAATTCTCGCGTAAAAAGGGAGCCGTTGACGGCCAACTACGGAATGGTCTCCGCGAACAGCTCGAAACCACCCAATCGGGTATGACGGGCCTGAGCGACGGCCAAAAAACAGTCCAGCTCATCAAGGAAGAAATGATGAAGATTGACCGCCTCTGTTCCGAATCCCAAAACATGATCAAGGACTTTGCCAGCATAAACCTGGTGTCCCAAGCCCACAGAAACTTTGTTGCCGTCGAAACAATGAGACGCGATCTGGAGACCTTCAACGATCGGCTGACCGTCGTGGAGAACATGCTACGACAGGACGATGCCGACCAGGAGAACATGCCCAATTTGCTGCCGTGCCATTACGAGCTGACGCAGCTGAGGAACATTCGAGACGATGCCATGGAGCAGATACATAGGGCGGAAGACCCTGGGCTGGAGTCGACGCTGGAGGACTACTTTGCCAGGCTGGACGACACGATTGACTGGTTTGACGAGCACGTCGGTCTCTTGGCAATGGACCTGATCAGCCTTGTTATCAATGAAAACAATGGGCTCGTGGTCCGGTTTGCCGTCGTCATTGAGGCCGAAGAGAAGAGCGACCAGCGCGTCCTGGCCCTGCAAGAAGCGCTCAAGGACCACGAAGAAATGGCAGCCCGGTTCCAGAGCATCACAGACGGCGCCAAGAAGGCCCGCGGCTACAAGGACAAGTTTCTGCAGGCCATCAAGCTCGGTGCTGAGCAGCAACTCGAGCAGTCCCGCGAAGAATTCCTAGACGACGCCTCGAAGCTCGAGGGGATTATGAAGTGGTACTTCAACGACCTCAACGCCGTGCGGGTCGGCATGACGCCCCTCATGCCCAAGAAGTGGAAGATTGGCAAAACGTACGCCGAGATATACCACCAGCTCATGCACGACTTCCTCATCGGCATGATCGAAGATCCGGAAACCACATCTGCCCACAACCTCGAAATTATCAGCTTCCCTGAGAAGTACTACCGAAAGATGGCCAAGATGGGCTACAGCCAGGAAGATCTCACCCCCCACGTCATTGACAACCGCGAGGCCGAGCTCGTCCGCGACTTCCGCCAGCTCATCATCAAGTTCCTCGACGAGTGGATGGACCGCATCTTTAACCAAGAAAAGAAGGACTTTGCGGAGCGCAACGTCGAGGGCTCCAACCTCGACCAAGACGAGTACGGCTACTTCCGCACCAAGAACCTCATCGCCCTCTGGCGCATGCTCCGCGAGCAGATTGATGCGGGCGCCAACTCGAAGCGCTCCGACGTGATAGAGGGCGTCATCGACGCCATGTTCCTCCGCCTGCGCACCCGCCAGCAGTCGTGGCAGCGCATGCTCGAGGATGAGGCGTCGCGCTACGAGGCCGGCAAGGTCCCCGAGCTGGAGGGCTTCCAGGCCCTTCAGGACTGGCTCGTCGCCACGGCCAACGACCAGATCGCCTGCATCGACGACAACGACGAGGAGTCGCGCCTGGGCTACCTCTCGTCCTTCCGGACAAACTTCGAGCCCCACGTCACGCCGCAGTATCTCGAGCGCGGCGAGTCGGAGCTCAACGCTCTGCGCGACTCGTACGTCGACTTCTCGACCTGGTGCATTACCAAGTTTGCGCACCTCATCTTCGCCGTCGACTTCCGCGCCGTCATGCCCGACTTCTTCACGCCCAAGTGGTACGCCAACACGGCCATGAAGCAAATGGTGGTCACTTTTGAGGAGTATGTCAGCGACTACCGCCAGGTCCTGCACCACTCCCTCGTCGACATCTTCATCGAGATCTTTGCCGACGAGCTGCTGGTCCGCTACCTGCTCTCCGTGCGCAACAGGGGCGCCAAGTTTCGCCGCGCAGACCCCTTCCGCGACAAGCTCTTCAACGACATCTCTACAGCCTTTGAGTACTTTAGCAACCTGCCCAACCCAGACGTCGGCAACTCGATCAAGCAGACGTGGAGGGTTACGGAGCCCTTCCTCGGCCTGCTGACCTGCGACAAGGATGCCGTGGCGGACGAGTTTGCCGCCTTCAAGGCGGCCTATTGGGACTTGCACATCTCGTGGGTCGAGTCCGTCTTGAAGTCGAGGGATGATTTCGAGAGGAGCATGCTGAATGCCGTCAAGGCGAGGGCGGCGCAGATAGGCGTCGTAAGGGGGCCCGAGACAATCATGAGCAAGGTCAAGTAGAGACGATGGATGGGTGACTTGAGACGTCGCTGGTTTTTGCCGCGGGGAGAGAAGGATGACTGACAATGAGGAAAACGCCAGACATTGGCAGCACAAGGGGCTGTTTCCATGTACGATTAATCGCATTTAGAGGAATTCACTATCCAAACAAGACACGGAGACGGGATGCTGTAAGACTGCTGATTCTACCAAGAAGATGCGTTGTCTAGCGTACAGTGGACTCGAATCTTGCCTTTGAAACATGGCCGAGTCCAGGTAATTAAAAACTATGTTTCTCCTATCCATCCATTCGGGCGTACTGTCCCGCCCTTGCCATTAGGCCCTCCGTCGCTTTAGGAACAAAAGAAAGAACATGGGGCACGACCCCCAAGACGTCACCTAAAATGCTGTGGTTCGCAATACCCTCTTCCCTGGTTGAAGGCTGTTATAGCCTTGCTAGTGGCTATGCAGGCTGGTGGCTTCTATGACTTGCTCGCGAGATAGTTGGCAGCCTGACAAAGAAGGAGAAGAAAATACTGGTTAGCAAGTTATCCTACTCGAGGAAATCGCGGAGACAAGTATTTTTATACCTTTTCCAAATTGTAGTCGTACTTTTCGAGAGCAGCCACCGCGTCTGAACGAGAATAACCCATGTCGGTGAGACTCTTCAAGATGGGGTCATCGTGGACGCCTTGCTCGGTGAGGGCTCGGCCAGGAGGCTCTGGACGCTCAGCGTGCTTGTCACCACCTCCCTCCCCGCCAGGGCCAGGAGGGGCGAGATTACTAGGCGAGTCCAGGCCAGCAAAGATGGCGTCCCAGTCATGAGAGTCAGCAGTCTTCTGCTGGGTAGTACTACCGGCTGCAGAGCTGTGAGACACAAAGTCGAATGTGCTTTCATTGCCAAACGCCGTGGACTCACTCTTGGCTTGGCTGGCTGGCGGGCTGCTATCAAACACGGGATTGAAGTCGTCCCGAGAAATGTTGGCAAAGTCATCATCTGCAGACCCTTCTTTGGCGTCTTCTAAGCCCTCGAAGTCGTCATCCAGGTCATCAAACACGGTTTTCCCAGTCGTATTTTGGGGCACAGCGTTCGGAGCAGCTGCTCCAAAGATGTCATCAGCAGTCAAAGTCGGCTGGGATGTGTTGGTGACGGTGGCAGGTGATGATGGCTGTTCGGAACTAGGGACCTCAAGTTAGTGACTGGTTGAACTCCTACTTTCTGGTTGATTAAGACAACGATTACTGCTTACCTTTTATTGGTATCCTCCACAGGTTCTTTAGCGGGTATTTCGGGGCCGACATTTACAGGCGTTTCCGCGGCGGTCTTCTTGGCCTCCGTGGCCTCCGTGGCTACCGCATCCTTCTTATTGACACCTTTGTTTGGAGGCGAAGCAGCAGTAAAGTCGTCGTCGAAACCACCTCGCTCGCTTTCCGACTCAGACTCATCGGCACGCTCCAACTCAGAAATGGGCGGGAACTCAGTGTTAAAAGCATCAGTGGATTTGTCGACATTCGACTCACCAGCGGCCTTGCCCTTGCCAGAGGCGGCAAAAGCGGCAAAAGCATTGTCGAAATCTGCCTTGGCCTTTGCTTGATCGGTACTGCTAAAAGGATCTGGCTTCGGCGCCGAATCGGTGGCTTCCTCGGCCTTCGCCTTCAATGCTGCTTCCGTAACCGAAACTGTCGGTGCCTCAGTGGCAGTAGGCGTTGCTCCTTGTGTCTCACTCTTCTCCCCCTCTTCCGCGGCCGACTCACCATTGCTGTCAGCAGAGAGGCCTTCGGCTCGTGAAGCGGGTGGCGAGACCTGGCGAGACGAAGAGAGAGATTCGGAGTGGTCGGGGAACGGCAAGAAGCTGGAGTTGATTTGCCTTGATGCGGGCGGCGCAGGAGGTTCCATGTTCATCGTACCTTGGCGGCTTATGCTGGGACTGGAACGGCCGGTATGAAAGGACGCTCCGCTGACCGCAGAAGTTCCAGTGTGTTGCTGCTGCTGGAAGGCAGGTGGAGGAGTGCTCGTGCTGGCCCCTGGTCCGAATGACGGACCAAATACATCATCAAGCGATTTGTCGGCATATGGTTTCGTCGGAGGGGATGCAAAGGCACCCATAATGTCGGTACTTGCCGTTCGCTTGAAGAAAGGGTTGTTATCGCTGACAGTCGACAAGGCCGGGCTCGCAACCTGTGCAGATGCCGAGGTTGGTGAGTTGCTGTCCATTTGCCTGGCAGCATCTTCCCCTCCCTTGGCCAGTTCGGCAGCTTCGTTCTTAAGCTTGTCTCGTTCTCCCTCGGTCGTGGATAGCTGCTTCTTGTTGATGGCAACTAGACCCTTCTGCTGGCGACTGTCCGACTTGAGCTTCTCAATCTGGGGTTTGAGCTTGGCAATCTCGCCGTTGACAACCCGGATGCGTTCTCGCAGGGTTGCATTCTCCTGCTGGTCCGCTTGCAAAGCGGCTGCAAGTTGTTGATGCTGAGACTGAACGTCTCTGAATGTTCCCTCGAGGGTCATGCACTCAGACTGAAGCTTTTGTGTATCAGCACGAGATTTTCTCAGCTGTTTCTCCAGAGACTGGGTGTCCTCGGCCTCCTTCTCGTACAGGGCTCGCAGTTGCGCCAGTCGTTGCTCAAAGTTTTGTTTCTGAGAATTCGTCTGATTAAGCTCGCCTTGGGTTGTGGTTCGTTTGCTTTGAACATCCTGCATCTGCTTCGAGAGGGTTCCAATTTGGTTGGACAAATTGGCCAACTCGGTCGTCTCTCCAGTGATGTTCTTGCTGGCTTCCGGGTCATTGTCTTCCAAAAGATCTTCTGACTGCTTGGGGACATCCCCTTGAGACGGTGGTCCGGTCAAGCCCTTGCCAAATGTTGAAGATGGCACAAATGGCTTGAATGTGGTACCCGTGGTGGTCGGGCGAATAGGGGACGATGGAGGCAGAATAGCTGAACCGCCAGCAAATGGATCATTCGCATTCGACCCCCCAGTAGACATGGTAGTTTGTACTGGCGCAGGCACGGGGCTGGGAGTCGATTCAAGCCCAAACAAGTCGTCCATGGCGGATTTGGGCTGCGGAGGCGCAGACCGTGCTACTGGCGCAGGGAACGGAGGAGGCTGCCTCTGGTTGCGGACGCTGGGAGGAATGAGGTTCTCGGGCAGCGTTTCGGGCAGATCACCGCCAACGCCGCTTCTCTGCTGTCGAATAAAGTACATGGCGATAGCGAATCCTTCTCGAGTAAGCTGGCCTTGATTGTTGAAGTTGGCAAGGTCCCATATCTGGGCCAATTTTTCCTCCGGAAGGTTAGACTGCCTCAAGAATGGACCAGCCTCCTCTCCACTAATATACCCCTTATTGGTTTTATCGAGAGTAGCGTAAATTTGATCGAATTTGGCCTTGTCTGCAGCGGACACAGCCCAATCACCACCGGCTGCGGCCGGCGCGATTGGCGGCCTTCCAAGAGGGCTGCCTACTCGCATCTGGGCGGAACCGCTCAACTGCCTTGGTATCGGTCCCATACCGGTGTTACTGGGGGATTGACGGGGTGCAGCACCGCGTCTAGTGGCGGCCTCGTACAAAGCGGGCGGCAGGGCCTTGGGCATGGAACGTAAACTACCAGCCTTGATACAGGTAAACAAATGCATAGCAATAGCGAATTCGGGGAGCACAAAGAACCCTCGTTCCTCAATACCCGTGAGCGTCCAAAAGTCTCTTATCGTTTCCTTGGGCAAACCGAATTTCTCAAAGATCAGTCTGGCCTGTTCAACGTGAAGTCTGCCAGCTTGCAGCGGCAGGCGCTCAAATATCGCAGCATATTCTGACACCTTGTCCGGAGTCAAGTATGGTATTCGGACGGCGCCACCACTTGCTTGAGCTTGCAGCGGCGCTGGGCTTGACGAGGTGGGCGAACCCAGCGCCGGCGATGTCCACAAGCCCTCGAATCGAGGTATCGGGCCTTGTTGGAGGGCTAGTTCGGCTGTCGGTTCCCGTCCGGCTTGAGCATGGCCGATCAAACGTAGAAAAACGCTGAAGCCTGTCGGCGTGAGGAAACCACGGTCCTCACTGTCCGCGATCTGCCATATCTGATAGAGGGTAATCGTTAGTCGGATGTGGCGGAAGACTAGGGAAGCCGGTGACGAACTGTTTGGCACTGATCATTCCGAAGTCTTGTTTTCTCAGCCAACGCCACGACGGCATCGCCAGTGACAAATCCAGCGCCTTCTGCATCAGCTTGGCGAAATAGCTGTGCATAGACTCGCTTCTCTTCGGGGGAGAGGTTGAGGTTCGGCGGCGCTGCAGGCACTTTTGAGGTTAGCTTGGACCGTTTTCAATCAGAATTGAAAATAGTCAAGGAAGTGGAATCGGCATACCAGAATCGGCGCCAAGGTCAGCAGACATTATGATGCATGGATGATCCAAGAGCTTGAGGTCAATGATGAGGGTTGGGAGGGGAGGAGTTGTTGGGTTGTCGTCGTCACCGTGGCTGGGCAGAATGGATTCGTCTGGTACTCCGTGCAGTCTCGGTGCTCCTGACGGTTGAGTTCAAAGGCAAAGATTTGCAATCTATGTGCGCCAAGCAACGTTGGACGACCGTTGGGTCGAAGCGCTATGATGGAGAAGAGGCAAGCCAGGAGCCAGGAAACTTAAATCAGGTTGGAATTGGGAGACTGCGATCAGCCTGGGGGGCTGGAGTCTGGTGGAGAGCTGTGATTCGGTGGCTGTCACCGAGACGAGCGGTTGGGGAACCCATGGTGTTGGTCGACCAAGTGTGGCTGGTGAAAGCGCACTCCAGGAACGTGGCTGTGGCTGCAGCTGCAACGGAAAAGACGAGGCGTCAGACCTGACTGCATTGTGAACATGTCGAATGATGAGAGAATGCACGGCGATTCTGAAATGCTGCACAAAATGCGAGAAATTTACAGATCACATGAGCCGAATGTTCATTAGCAGCACCTCCCATCACCTGGTTTGACAATCTCAAGTCTCGATGCCGAGTCAGAATTGGAAATTCCTTCGTCCTCGGAGTTTGTGGGGCCCCATTAGCAAGGCGTGCTCTCCAGCTTAATGATTGGCCGGGGTTTCCCGTCGTTTATGTCGCAATCCCAATGATTTGACATGGTCGCAGTCGAATCCGAAGGTGAATTTCAAATCATTCCCGAGCTATTGTGCGGACTTATATATGCCATCTAGCCTAAATCCAGTGATTCCAGACGGTGCTTGTAGTCTCTTTGCGCCCCCCTCAAGCTGCAGCTCAGTCGTCATACGCCTAGAGTCGCTCCCCCGTCACATTGCATTGCTCGCAGACACAGATTACTCAGCCAACCTTCAGGGATCTTCCGTCAATCGGCGCTAGATCGGGTTCTCCGGCCAAGCTCGCATATACATATTCTTCTTTCTTTCTGAATAACTCAAATACTTCTGATCCGGGATAAAAGACGTCATTGCGGTCCAATACCCACCAATCCCCTCGGTTCGTTCCGTCATTCACATAAAAGGGGAGCTCGCTCATCCTGACTTGGGAAGGCCTTTACATACATGCAAGATAGCCCTAGTCGTCCATGCAATCCCTCGCCCTCTTGTCCCGCACTTCAAGAGCTGCCCCGCACCGCATAGCTTCTTTGTCCCGCCATCTCTCTACATCGTCTGCGACAATGGCTCCCATAACGAAGGAAACGGATTACCTTGTGCTTGGTGGTGGTAGTGGTGGTCTTGGCTCGGCCCGCATGGCCAGTTCCAAGTTTGGCGCAAAGGCAATGGTTGTCGAAGCCGCCCGACTCGGCGGGACGTGCGTGAACGTTGGGTAAGTTGATAATCCGGGTCTGTTTCTAAGTACGAGACTTTGTATGTGAGGATTTCTTGCTGACTAGTGCTGTCGTGATGTGTAGATGTGTTCCCAAAAAGGTTACGTACAATGCCGCTGCCATCGCCGAGACTCTTCACGAGGCCAAGTCTTATGGCTTTTCCGTCACAGAAACCGCTCCTTTCGACTGGACCACCTTCAAGAATAAGCGTGATGCCTACGTTAAGCGTCTGAACGGCATATACGAGCGCAACCTTGGGAACGACAAGGTCGAGTACCTGCACGGCTGGGGTCGGCTGCTATCCAAGAACCAAGTCGAGGTTACGTTAGACGACGGTAGCAAAGTTGTCGTCAATGCCAAGAAGATTCTCATCGCCGTCGGCGGCCGCCCGAGCTCCCCCCCACAGATTCCCGGTGCGGAGCTGGGCATCAACAGCGATGGATTCTTCGACATTGACAAGCGGCCCAAGAAGGTTGCCATCGTTGGAGCTGGCTACATCGCCGTTGAGTTTGCGGGCATGTTCAACGCTCTTGGCACGGAAACCCACCTTTTCATCCGCGGCAAAACTTTCTTGCGCCATTTCGACCCGATGATTCAGGAGACGGTTACCAATGAGTACGAGAGACTCGGGGTTAACCTGCACAAGGAGTCACAGGCCACCAAGATTGAGAAAGACGCCAACGGCAAGCTTACCGTCACCTACAAGGATGCCGAGGGAAAGGAGAGCTCCGTTTCGGATGTTGACCACCTTATCTGGGCTGTTGGGCGAACCCCCATGACCAAGGATATTGGCTTGGAAGAAGCTGGCGTCAAACTGACAGAAAATGGCCATGTTCAGGTCGATGAGTACCAAAACAGCAGTGTCGAGAATATCTACGCCCTCGGTGATGTCAGTGGAGAGGTAGAGCTTACCCCCGTCGCCATCGCCGCTGGCCGTAAACTGGCGCAGCGCCTGTTTGGACCTGCGGAGTTTTCCACCCAAAAGCTCGACTACAGCAACATTCCATCCGTCGTATTCGCACACCCCGAAGTCGGTAGCATTGGCCTCTCGGAACCTCAGGCTATCGAGAAATACGGCAAGGACAATATCAAGGTCTACAAGACGGGTTTTACAGCCATGTACTACGCCATGATGGAGCCCGAGCACAAGGGTCCAACCAACTACAAATTAATTGTTACTGGTCCTGAGGAGCGGGTAGTCGGCCTGCATATTATGGGTCAGGGCAGTGGTGAGATGCTCCAGGGATTCGGTGTCGCTGTCAAGATGGGTGCCACCAAGGCAGACTTTGACAGCTGTGTGGCCATCCACCCGACCAGCGCTGAGGAATTGGTGACTTTGAAATAAACAGCGCGTGAAGTAGAATAGATTTGGAAGAGTAAAAGAGCGATATAGTTTCAATGTAAATTTTGTTCACCTTTCATAGCTGTCATTTGCTCGCGTCAAGAGTCGTGGTCCCTCATCTTTACCGGCCACTTGACTGAATAAATTCAGGCCGTTGACAGCCTTTGTTATTTTGTAACCTACAATCCGAGATATCTGGGAACCTGATACTCAGCCGCGAATGGCATTCTATTTACGGTTAAGGAGAGGTGATTGGAGGCGGACCCCGTAGGCCCTACAGCCTGTAAAGGAATATATTTGCCAATCTACTAGAAGTACCACACTATATACTGCCAGCTATTGCAGTATAGAGTGCGATAGCTGCCTATTCCTTGATAGGTACCATCAACACCATCTAATTTGATGGAATACCATACTTAAGTGCCTACCTACTTTCGGTACTTGGGTGCCTGGTATCAGGCTGGTACTTCTTGCCCGCATTGCTCAGTGGGTCCCCTGTTGATGCGACTCGACTTCTCCACTGCCCACGTCGTATTGACTTCGAACGAGGCTCGGGCGAGATGCAGTGCTCCAGGTCGACACCTTTTCTGTGCTGGCTGTGAATTAATGGCCTCTAATGGCTAAGCCACTGATATCTTTGCGTTACGAAGATGGCCGTGGGCCGTGTCGCGACATCGTGCTCAGGGCTTGGGAAGCGAGGACATCTATGATCTGAACATGGTCTATTGACGGTTTTGTTGTCAGCACGAACATGCTGGGTATGGAGCATGCAAAGCACGTACACGAATGCGAGCTCTCGATTCCGACTCCATTGCCTTTGGGACATGCTATAAACAGTATTTGAGCTCCCTACCTAGGCAGGTACCTTGAACGGCCTGGAGAGCTGCTGTCAGCAGCGACGCGACACAAGACGCCGACAAGTTACAACATACGTCGTCCATCGGCGTTCGACAGCGTCCATCAACTTACGGGCCAATCAACCCGTTCAAAGTCTGGCAGAATGAGCGTGAATGGCCGATTAGTCGGTCCACGGTCAACAGTGCAAGAGGAAAGATGATGAGTGGGCGACACAGCGTGGCGCCTGCATGAGAACGAGTTTGTTGGGCGAGGCATATTTCTTCAACAGCACGTAAGCGCCCAGTGTCAAGTACCTAGGTAGGGCGCCTCTGCAGATGGCTGATCATTGACGGATTGCTGACCGGCTTTATTTCTGCCTAATTTGTTCAATCACTGTTGAGCAATACGCAGCAATATCGTCGTGACTTCTGTCGTTGAGCTTTGCACAGATGCGGCCGTCCTACTGACACCCATTGGAGGGACCAGTTGCGCTGTCGAATTGCCCTTCGTGCGGCGTCTATAGCAAGCTGCAACTCCAACCTTTGTCTTGGTAGCGCGGACAACACACCGAGCGGTTCCCGATTCTTCACCGGAATAATCTGTCCCGGAGGCCTCACTTATTGACCTGCTTTCATACCAATAATTAACGCCATTAGATGATGCCGAAGCGAACGTTTGAGCCCGAGAGTGATGGCGAAGCCGTATGTGGCCCGGCAAAGAGGAGGAATACGGATTATGCAGATACGCAGACACCAACCCTGGTCGGCGTGTCTCCGGAGGCCATGGATAACGATGAATACACAGTTGGCTGGATCTGTGCCTTAAGCACAGAGTATGTTGCCGCACAAGCTTTCCTCGATGAAACGCACAGGGGACCAAGATTTGTGTCCCCATATGACCATAATCATTACACTCTGGGTCGTATGGGGAATCACCATATCGTCATTGCAGTCTTACCTAGCGGCGAGTATGGCATTGCCTCTGCAGCTGTTGTGGCCAAAGATATGCTCCATAGCTTTCCCAATATCAAGATTGGCCTTATGGTCGGCATCGGCGGCGGCGCGCCAAGCCAGAAGCACGATATACGTCTTGGCGACGTTGTGGTTAGTGACCCCAGAGATGGGATAGGTGGTGTGTTCCAGTACGACTTCGGCAAGATACTTCAGGATCAGATGAAAGACGTGGAATTCCGCACAACGGGTTTTCTAAACCAGCCGCCAATCGTCCTACGAACTGCAGTAAGTGGGATAAAGGCACGTCATGAGATGCATGGGCATCGGCTAAAAGAGGCCATTAACAACACTCTCAAGAAGATACCAAGATTGCAGCAGGAGTATAAGCGACCAGACCCATGCAGCGACAGGTTGTATCGATGCGAGTTCACCCATCCTGTAAGCGGTGGCTTAAGTTGTACCGCAGCCTGTGGTAACGATCCCTCAAAGTTAATATCTCGTCCGGAACGGACCAGAGACAGGGACACGCCGAACATTCACTACGGACTAATTGCTTCGGCGAATCAGTTAATGAAGAACGCTCAGGTTCGAGATAGACTGGCATTAAAAAAGAATATTTTATGTTTTGAAATGGAAGCGGCAGGATTAATGAGCAGCTTCCCTTGTCTAATTATTCGGGGTATCTGCGACTACTCAGATTCTCATAAGAATGAAGAGTGGCAAGGGTATGCAGCGATGGCAGCGGCTGCGTATGCGAAGGATCTTCTCAGTCAAATTCCTTCAAATGGCGCCGAGAATCTCCGCAGGACATCGAGTGGCATCTCATTGCGGCCCAGAAGAGGAGAGAACCAATCGCTCAATGACGAGCAAAGACGTGTGCTACTGGAGTCGCTGCGATTTGACCAAATCGATGCCCGGCAGATGACCATCAAGAACGCTCATGCCAAGACCTGTAAATGGCTGCTACAGACGCCTGCATATCTTGACTGGCTTGACCCCAATAAGTTCAACGAACATTTCGGGTTTTTGTGGATCAAAGGGAAGCCTGGGGCCGGGAAATCGACATTAATGAAGTTTGCTCTTGCTAATGCTCGGAAGAAGACAAAGGGCAAGATTATCATCTCTTTTTTCTTTAACGCGCGAGGAAGTGATCTCGAGAAGTCCACAATTGGATTATACCGGTCTATACTGCTACAGCTTCTCGACCGACTGCCTGGACTCCAGGAAGTCTTTGATTCTCTCCCATCAGCAATTCGGGACAGTGGATATGACCAATGGCGGGTTGAATCGCTGAAAGCACTTTTCGAAAAAGCCGTGCAGGGTCTTGGAGAGACCGGCCTTATGTGTTTTATTGACGCCTTGGATGAATGTGATGAGGATCAAATCCGAGATATGATATCGTTCTTTGAATCATTGAGCCAAACAACCACGCCAGCCGGTATTAGCTTTCGGGTCTGCTTTTCAAGCAGGCACTACCCGCACATTTCCATTAAGAGAGGACTTAACCTAATTCTCGAAGGACACGAAGGACATGGCCAGGATATAGTCAACTATGTGGACAGCGAGTTGACAATTGGACACAGTCGTCTTGCCGCGCAGATCCGTGCTGACCTGCAAGAAAAGGCATCTGGAGTTTTCATGTGGGTTGTCCTAGTGGTGGGAATCTTGAACAAAGCGCATGACAAAGGCCGCATTCATGAGTTACGAAAAATACTCCGAGATATTCCTGGGGACCTTCACGAGCTGTTTCGCGATATTTTAACGCGGGACTGCCATAAAAGGGACGAACTGCTTTTGTGTATTCAGTGGGTGCTCTTTTCGAGACAGCCGTTAAAGCCGGAACAGTTATACTTTGCTATCCTGTCTGGCATTGAACCAGGGGCCCTTTCTGACTGGAATCCTGATGAAATTACAGTATCTATTATGAAGAATTTCATCCTTGATTCCTCTAAAGGGCTTACCGAAGTCGCTAAATCTAAAAACCCAACAATTCAGTTTATTCACGAGTCGGTTAAGGATTTTCTTCTAAAAGAAAATGGGTTAAGGGAGATTTGGTCCGATTTTGGAGAAAACTTTCAAGGAGAAAGTCATGAACGACTAAAGCAGTGTTGCCTCAGGTATATGAGCCTTGATATAGCTGCCCATTTAAATATCGGCAGCTCGCTTCCGAAAGCATCATCCCAGGAAGCTGCAGAGCTCCGCCAGTCGGCAGATACATCATTTCCATTGCTTGAGTACGCTGTACGAAACGTTTTATACCACGCGGATGCGGCAGAAGGCGGTGGAATCGCCCAGACAAGTTTTCTTCAGACCTTCCCGCAGTCTGACTGGATTAAGCTTGACAACTTGTTTGAACGACACGAGGTACGCCGACATACAAATGCGAGTCTTTTATATATATTAGCGGAGCATAATATGGCGAATCTCATCGGACGTCACCCGTCCAACCTAGCGGGCTTTGAAGTACAAGATGAACGTTATGGCACACCAATTTTTGCGGCGCTAGCTACCAATAGCGGCGCGGCAACTCGGGCGCTTTTAAAAGCCCAGGTGGAAATCAACCCAGAGATGTCTCCTATTCACAGCCTGTTTGAACAGTATTGCCCGAATGGAAGCAAGCGATCCAGCCTCGGACGTGACTTCACTTTTCTACGGCGAAGAGGGGTTCTCAGTCATGTCGCAGAGCATGGCGAAGAGGTGATAACCCTTGCATTTCTACTGGCTGAGAGATGCGTCGATATCGACATCGGGGATAGAGACGGACGGACGCCGCTATTATGGGCCGCTAAGAACGGGCACGAGGCCGTGGCGAAGCTGCTCCTTGAAAAGGGCGCTAATATTGAGGCTAAAAATAGCTTCGGCGATCAAAGGCCGCTATTAGTAGCCGCTATAACCGGGAATAAGGCCGTGGTAAAGCTGCTCCTTGAGAAGGGTGCTGATATTGAGGCCAAGGACGACAAAGGACAGACGCCGCTTTCGGGGGCCGTAATGTACGGGCACGAGGCCGTGGTAAGGCTGCTCCTTGAGAAGGGCGCTAATATCGAGACCAGGGATGTATATAGCTGGACGCCGCTATTATGGGCCGTTGAGAGGGGGGGCGAGGCCCGGGCGGACGCGAATATTGGACTCGAAGATATATATTGTGCCACCGCCGACAGGTATAACGCTACACTCGAGCTGCTGCTTAAGAAGGGCGCCAATATTGAGGCCAAGGACGAAAAAGGACAGACGCCGGTGTCGTTGGCCGCCAAGAAGGGATACCGGGGTGTCATCGAGCTACTACGACAATACTCCTCATAACTGCGAGACGATACACTCGCCTCACTTCAGACAATATAATCCACACATCCTGTCATACGTCCGAAAATCGTTCTTGAGTCAGTCACCATACGTGCAGCTGATGTGAGCCAGCGTTACGTTCCACACCCTAGGTCAGACTCTCTGGGCTGGGCCTTCGTTACGTTTGTCAGAGGCGGTTTGAAGGCGTCCAGGCAGATCTATATACGAAAAACGCTGATCTCATGTGTGTAGGGAGTAGCACTTCAGTTCGATTTCAAGTTTCATGCGGCAACGCTCTGAGCTAAGCTTTGCGGCGCGTGGTGTGCGAGAATCCAAGTGAATGTGGCATCCGCAAATGCTAGACGGATTTCTCAATCCATCCTCATGTTCCTACGGCAAGATATTTACAGGGAGTTTTATTTTAATTGGCGCTTTATTTTTAGTCAAGTAACAGGATAGTAGGTTATAGGACATGTCAAGATGATGGACTGTTTGGGGCTGAACTGGCAAGATCACCAGTTGCTGACATTGTCCATTTTCACCGCCAGTGTCGTTGAAGTTGCGCAGAGATGCCCCTGCTTGAATGAATCAATACAGAGCTTGTCATTTGATGTCCACAGATACCATACTGTGCAGGTAAATTCAGCATAGGCATCTAGAGTGGCCAGGAGAGAAGTATGCTTTGTAGGCTGCTCATACCATGGATTATAGAAATCTCAGGGCTTAAGTAAGTAGAAAACAATGAGACAAATGTGCCCGATGCCCTCTGCTGGGCGTCAGTAGGAGTTGTAGCTGCATCTAGACAGTTATTCGGAGCAGTCAAAACGGTACTCAATGCAGGATGTTGATTTGAGAAAACCGACACACCGTACGAGGAGAAAAGAGCTTGAGAGAGGACAAAAGAAAATAGGTTGGTGGCAATCACTGATTAGGTCCCCGTCTTGCCTGGATGGCAATCTCTATGCGGGATCAAAATGCCCCTTTCCATCGTTTCCTTGCGTTCCGACTTTCAGATTTACCGCCACTCGAAGAGCACTCTATCCCTATACATTAGGACAGCCAGCACCACGGGGGGTGAGAGTTGTCGTCGACCCCGGCCTCCTCCAAGCTTGACAAGTCGCATTCGCCAGCCCGGTGCGCCGACATTGGACTTATCGTCGAGGTCCCTCCTCGTTCCTGAAGCGGAATTAATGCTGAGAATATCCTCTGCGGTGCTGTGACTGCCACTCGCCTGGACGAACGAAGCAACGGCTAGAATGCCCCGACCCGTGGAGGGAATCAAGGCATTGAAGAGGCCCAGGTCTGGATGTTGCCCACGCCGTTTATACAGGGGACACCGTTGCTGACGATACGCGAAGGCGATGATGGCGGAGGGACTGGAGGCGCCCATCGACTCGACGGCCGTCTTGGTAGGCTGCCTCGCCGCTGTCAATGCTCGCTTTGTAGTAAGGAGGCGCCAATTCTCCTCCTGCAGGCCTTGCACGCGTCGAGCAAAGCTGGGTGCCTTTATGAAAGAGTCTTAAACCGTCCAAGTCTGATCCCGGCAGCTAAACACTGTAAATCTCGTAGCTGTGCAAATCGCGGTAGCCAAGTCTAGAGTCTAGAATGTCAAAGTAGACGGCCATTTCAACCAAGGTAGAAACTAGGAAGAAGCTTGCATTTCGCATATAGTGCTAAATTCAATGCTCATGCCATGCACCAAGGAAATAAATATAGGCGTAGGTTGTTTACCCAAACATTAAGGGCTAATTCTAGGGTCAACAATTCTAACAATATGTCGAACATTTAATAGTCAAAGTAAGAGTTTCTACAGGGAGTGTTGTTATTGTTGAACTGGACAAGGCATAAGGCCTCCTCGATACCTCTTAGCAAAGCTATAATGCTATAATGGAATGAGTCTTAGTATATCTGATGTTGTGTATGCACAAAAGGTGCCGCACGCGACGTTTGTATTCTGGCTCAAGTGAATTCCACGAATAACTATCCCCTTATCAGCAAGAGCAATGTGAGGAACAAATCTGTCTGCTTGCCAAAGCGTCAACACCGCCAACGACCTAGGTACTAAATAGCAGACATTTTCTCACGGCGTCACAATGTTAAATGCACTCTTAGGCACCTGGATGAAGGCTATGGCCTTTTCCCACGCTCCGACATCCCCCGAGGTCACGACCTGGTAGGCAGTAATCTCAGGCTTCTTGCCCGCCGCGGCGATCCCGACAGCCGTGACCAGAGTCTCGTGCGCCAGCCAGACTGTCAGATCCGATTTGCTGTCCTTGAGGTCCTTGAACGCGACATAGGGAATCTCGTGCCCCGTCATGGCGCCGTTGCTCAATCTCATGTGCCACCCGATCTGACCTTTTCCTTGGACCGACTTTCGCGGCATATCTTCCACCATGAAGTCAATCGTGATTTTGCCTTCAAAGGCAAACGCCTCTGGGCCGTTGATACGGATAGCCATTGTGTCAAAAAGTTGATCTAGATTGAGCGCCATCAGGGACGCCGGCGTCATGGTGTTGACGGCCGGCTTCGGTTCATTTTGCAGCTCGTACGCTCCGGTAAGATATATGTTGCGCCAGGTTCCATTTTCTGCGCTCTGTCCGAGCTTTTGGTAAACAGATATCAGTTCATTCTTTGCGTCTACGTTATCGGGATACGCAAAGATTAATTTATCCAAGAGAGTGGCTGCAAATCGTAGCTTTGAGTCGATGTTCTCGGAGACGTATGCCTTGGCCTTTTCCAGAACAACTTTTGGCCCACCCATGCACTTCACGTACTCAACCGCTTCATCAGTCGGTTCGAGTTTCCATAAATTTGCAGGGTTGCCATCGAACCAACCCATGTATTTATCGTAAATGGCCTTGACATTATGACTAACTGAGCCGTAGTAGCCGCGCAGGTTGGTCCGAAGGCTCAGATTGGGCGGAGTCTTGATCTGTTCTGCGATTTCAACGGGGGTGCTGCCGTTGTTCAGCAGGCGCAGGGTCTCATTGTGAAGGTAGGCGTAGTAGTCACGTTGTTCCGACAGAAAAGTCACAATCAAATTGTGCGGCTTTTCGACGTGATCGTCCTGAATGCCACTGCCCGCGCTATCGTGCTTCCATGTAGGCCAGTGGTGACTGGAGAAGACTACATCTGACTTGTGTCCAAACAGGGAGATGGACTCGTCGAGATAGCGAGACCAGAGTCGGGCGTCACGAACCGGCGCACCTCGCAGCGTCTGGATGTTGTGCAAGGTGTGTGTTGCGTTCTCCGCCATGCATAGGGCGTTATAAGCCGGAAAGTAAAAGTTCACTTCGGCAGGCGCCTCCGTCCCCGGAGTTAATTGGCAGATAATTTCAAGCTCTTTAATGCCGGGATTTAGGGCACCGTCCTGGGTGATGCTCTGGTTAGGTGCCACCAACGAGCTACGTCCTGTTGACAGCCCCTGGCCTAGGCCACAGCCGATCTGACCATTAGGAGATTTTGGCAAGGCCTCCCCGTACATATAGATGGACCGTCGAGACATGGCCGCCCCGGCGTATACATTCTCACTAACGGCATGTTCAAGGAAGCCATCGGGACCGATAATTCGGAGATCCTTGCCAGCCAGGTCCACGATAGCTTGGGCGCCTCCGAAATGGTCCACGTGATTGTGAGTGTAAAAGAGGGCAACAATCTCCGCTTGGCGTTGGAATCGCCCCTTGTGGTAGTCCTGGTAGAGCTGAATGGCTGTACTTGCGGTTTCCACAGATGTCAAGCAGTCGATTATGATGATCTTGTTTTTGTCTGAAGGAATCTGAACAATGTTCATATTGGCAAGGTCAAGCCCGCGGACCTGATAAATGCCGTCAACGACTTCATACAGACCTGCCGTCGCGCTGCAGAGCTGGCCCTGTCGCCACAGAGACTTGTTGGCGGTCGGGGGACAATCTTGCTGCATAAAGTCGTAGGCACTAGCATCCCAGACAACGTTGTTGTTCGAGTCATAGATGCGCGGATTGTTCAATTTGGCCACGAGGCCACGCTGGGCAAACTCGAAGTCGTGGTTATCGGTATCGATGGTGTCGACGGGGAGAGACATGGCTGCGAATAGAGCTGAATCTTGGCATAAGAATGTAGAAGATGATGTAGTTGGATGGTTTAGAACATCAACTGCGAATCTGAAAGGCGGGATGTAGCAAATTTATATTTTTCACGACGTGCTGCCGCTCCACGGTCATGGAAACGAGACGTATGCCCGAGACTGGCTCCTTCTCGGACTCAATCTCGCGCATCGCCCGAATCAGTCGAGATGCATGTCTAGTTGCTTCAACTACTGAGATGGCTGAGAGGATAAGAGCGGGAGTCAGCAAATAGTGGCACTGCCATAGGCGCATATATGATGTTTACGACATGCCGCAGCGCCACAGAGGTGAGAGGCAAGCTGAAGAGGGGACTCACCCGCAAATGTGCTGAAACCAAAGTCGCACGACGCCCTCTGCAAGCGGTCCAAGAGAGTCTGGTTCTTCACTCTGAGATGGTTGAGCCGAACCCCAAGCCGTGTGTAGTGCCTGATGGCCGAGGTTGGTAGCATTGGCCAATGCCTGCCTGCGATGCTTCTAGTGTCTCGGCTTGACTTGATAAGCGTAAATGTCCGGTCTTGCCGCGACGTGGCAGATGTTGACAGCTCAACATATATCGGTGATCCCCCGCCCATACCATCCGGCCGATATGCAACCCACCGTCGTATTTGTTTCTCCGCGATTACCAGATCCAGGCTCTTGCAGCTGTCTTTGCAAGCGGGAATTCCACACAGATGTTGTCACATGCGGGGTTGCGTTGGGGCAAGTTGGCAAGAGATAGATGGCCAAAACCTCCAGGAAAATCATCGTCACAAACCTCAAGTTTGTGACGGGTCATTTATCGCGTGACCGTCACACTTTGCAAACTGAATAAATGGCAATTGGGAAAGTTTTCATATAGTTTAGCTATTGCAATATTTAGATATTACACAAATTTCCAAGGTTTTAATAGATACTATAGTTCGTTTTTATTAACTTACTTATGGCGTGGAATAATCCTTGGCTTTGCAATATTGTTGTTTGCATCTGTTGGACCGGCCCGTTGCCCTGTCACAGATTATCGCCCCTGCAACCGTTCATGCGTTTGAACTCTGCACTACTCTCATGGTCCATATATTCAAGGCTGACGTGAATCTTGCCCATGCCATCTTTCCCTTGTACAACCAATCGTGTGTCAGGCTTTCCCACCGCATCAATGGGATCGACTCGTGCTACGCCTATGGGTGTGTCCAGGCTCCTCCCATGTCAGTCGGGTTGCTGAGCACAAGGTATATAATATACCAAGTCAACTCAACAGGGCGGAAAGTATTGATATCAAATACACGATTGAAACAATCGTCTGATTCCCACGCGGGCTTATCCGTGGTCCCTGCATAGCGATCGACGAGACTTGCCCCTTTCATACTCTAGCAAGCGAAACAGCCGTTTGAGACGTTGCGTGTGTTCACGGTACTTGTGGAGTTCTTTGCGGTGGTCCGGTGCGGACAGGCCAACGGCCTCATGGATAATCTCGGTCAAGATAGGAGGCGAATTGAGCGTCGATGTTGACGAGGTATTCACAGCTGGATTGATGTGGGCAGTGCGCACCCTCGGAATCTGCTGACAGGTCTCGTCGCGGACAAAGCAAGGCAGTAAATGCACTCATGCACTCCCATTTCCGCTCCCGGGATATCGTGAAGTCACTGATGGTGTTGGTTGCAAAAGAGTATGTAGTATGGGATTGGACTGTCTGCCTCGAGAGCCATGCCGGGGCTTTGGCATGCTGTTGCCTCGTTGCCTGGAGGAAGATTTGAGATCATTTGACGGAAAGACCAATTGATGCCCCGCACCCAGTTTCTCGCTTACCATTCCCTCAAAGCAACTACGGAGTAACTTACCTGCTGCTCCATTAGACCAACCAGACTCTTTCTTCTAATCCTACACGCAAGTCTGGGAAGACGCGCATATAAACTGCCAATCGCTAATATCATCATTTCCGTCTCGCTCGAGCTTAAAGAGGAAGGCAAAGCCCTTCTTCCCCCCGGCTCGTGTGGACCGCGTGCCAACCGGCCTATGTACATGAGTATGTCAAAGTCCTCCCGATAATCAAGACAAGTATTGCAATTTAACTCTTCGGCATCACAGCTCATCCTAGCAGAAGCAGCGCCAGGCAAGCTGCCTTGGCCAACTATGAACGAATCAGATTTTAATAACGCAACGAGTGGGCCTGGCCATCACAGCCGCATTCACATAAGTTTAAACGGGACTTCTACATAAGAATGTAGCTGCACCGCCCGGTTATCAATCAGCAGAGGCACCGGACGCCTACCTCTCTTCTCAGTTCACAAAAGTCTATCCAGTCAACAGTACAGCACTCTTCGTAATGCAAGCGAAACACACATCATTCAAACCCTTACTGTGCTTGAGACTGTACTGCTCACCAACACGGTCGCCAACTACCCAGTTATGGAGCCTGTTTCCCAACATACCTACACAATCCCAAATTCGCGTCGTCTGGACCATCTGAAAAGCACAATTGCATGCCGCGAGCCACTAAGGTGTAATGCTGAGGGATGGAGCTTCCTACATCCTGCCAGTCTCGGCCTTGCACCGCGTTTTATTGACATGCTTGCACTGCTGGTAGCAATATTCGGCATGTTCATTGGCATCCTGCCAATATGGACTTTTGTTCGCCGAAGAGCCAATGGAGAGGTAGAGGCAAGGAGCTGGAAATACAGGACAAGTTTGGTCAGTGCGTGTCTTTGCGCTCAACGGCATCCCTCTCGGCCTCAATCCAGTCAATCGCCCCTGACACCTTTATTACATGTATAGGCTTGCGTCGCTTGCGTTGTCCCTGGCACTATTGTACAAATTGCTCGTCTGATCGCCGGCAATCCACATGCTTGGCTCAGCGACCTCTGGGTATGGGCTTATACCCTTCTTGTCATGTCTCTTTTGGCAATGTTCGTCGTCCAGTATCTGGGGCCAAGTGGCCGCCAATGTAGAGCCGCCAAAGGAGCAGCCTTCTACTGGCTTATTCTCACCTTTCTTCTGGGGACAAAATTGCAATCAACCATTTCACATCATATGAACAAGCATCATATGTATTCCATTGCCGCTTTGTGTATAAGTTTTGTCTTCTCATGTGTCGAATGTGTCCTTGTCTGGTTTGTGCCAGATGGATACGCCGGCATGGGCCAAATAAACAACGTTGACGTCCGCCCACGTGTGACATTGTGGTCCACTCTGACTTTTGCGTGGATGACACCCATGATGACCTTTGGCTATAGGAATCGTCTCACTGAGAATGACCTCTGGGAGCTAGCCGAGAGTGAGAATACAAGGGCTGCAGCCAAAACATTCCAAGACTCATGGAGTGTCGAGCTGGTCGGCAAAAGAGCCCCGTCGATATGGAAGACTCTCTTCCACGGTTTTGGACGAGCCTATGTGCAGGCAATACTCTTCAAGGTGTGGGCTGACATATTTTCACTCATGCAGCCACAGTTATTGCACTTCTTGATATCATTTGTCCAGTCTCGAGGCAATCTGACGAATGGAGTGACCCTTGCGCTGGCCATGTTTCTGGTCTCTGTCGTCCAGAGCCTCTGTCTCCATCAGTGCTTCCAGCGACTTTCTTACACCGGGGTCAAAGTGAAAGCGGCGCTTATTTCCACAATCTATGTGAAATCGCTCAGGTTGTCGAATGGTGCGCGTGCTTCCAAGTCCACAGGTGGCATTGTCAATCTGATGGCTGTAGATTCGCAGCGTCTTCAGGACTGTATTCAGTTTAGTCAGCATACTTGGTCCGCTCCGTTGCAAATAGTTCTCTCCGTGGTATCTTTATATCAACTGATGGGACCTAGCATGCTGGCCGGTCTTCCTTGGTACTCGTCATGATTCCTATTAACAAGACCACTACCGTGGCCATCAAGGCTCTTCAGAAGCAGCAGATGAAAAACAAGGACGCGAGATCCAAGATTATCACAGAAGTAGTCCAGATGATGAAGAGCATCAAGCTTCTTGCGTGGGGTCCAGCCTTTATGGACAAGATCAGTCACATTCGTAATGACAAGGAGCTCGCAACACTTTGCAGGGTGGGCAAACTTCAAGCACTATCTGGCTTCATCGGTGCGGCAGCCCCATTCATCCTTGCATGTGCAGCGTTCTCAGCATACGTCTTAGTCCAGGCCAGCCCGCTGACAACGGATGTTGTGTTCCCTGCCTTTGCATTATTCCATTTGTTGACGCCCCCCCTGGCTATCCTTCCCACGGCGATTTCTTCCGTTACGGAGGCAAGTGTTGCAGTAACTCGGCTAAGCGCCTTTATTACCGCTGATGAGGTCCAAGAGAACGCTGCTGTTCACAACGGCACGGTTACGCAAACCGGTGCAGAATCGGTTGCTATGCGCGAAGCAACCTTCACATAGGACACACAACAGACCAACCCGGCTATTGAAGAAGTCAACTTCACGGCTCGTGCGGGTGAGCTCTGCTGCGTTGTTGGCCGCATTGGGAGTGGCAAGTCTGCGTTGATCCACGCCATTCTCGGCAGCCTTCACAAAGTAAAAGGTACAGTGGCGGTTCATGGTTCGGTAGCATATATGACACAAGACACATGGCTACTGAATGCCACGATACGAGACGACATAACGTTTGGCCATGAATGGGACGCTGGGTTCTACGAGAACACTGTGAAGGCGTGTGAATTAGTCAGCGACTTTGTCCAATTCCCAAACGGGGACCTGACTGAGGTTGGAGATCGAGGTATTATGTTGAGTGGCGGGCAGAAAGCGCGTCTATCCCTGGCCAGGGCAATATACTCTAGAGCAGATATATAATTGCTGGATGATCCTTTAGCGGCAGTGGACCAGCACGTCGCCAGACATCTGGTCGACAATGTAATTGGACGCCATGACCTCCTTCAAGGAAGAACAAGAATTGTCGTCACGAACTCTGAGGCTGCCCTGGCCGAGTCAGACGCAGTTGTCTTGCTTCAGTCTGGCAGAATCGCGGAAAGGGGTACCGGCACACAAACCATGGAGGCGATGAGAGATTTCAACGATGTTGAAGGAAAGTTTGGTACCCTACATGATGAAGATAAAGTCAATATGTCTGCCGATGTGTCAAGCACCGGAAAGCTACAGGTTATAAGCAATATTCAGGGACTGACAACAATGCGCCAAGTGGCTTCCCAAGAGGCAGATCCGAGTACAGCTCACCGCGCAGACGATGAACGTCGCCGAGGTCTTCCAAGAAGACGCATTGACGTGGAATCCGAGCCAATCATACGCACAGAACGCTCAAAACAAGGCCTTGTGGGATGGAAGGTGTATGGTGATTACGCAAAGTCGAATGGTCTTGTCTTTGTCTGTCTATATGTTGTTGCTCTCATCGGCTCCCAAGCAGCTGAAATAGGTATGTGCATTTTTGCATGTGTTGTGTTGTTTCACTCTATAGGGAAAGAGCAAGTACAGTCGCTGTGTCAGGGCCATGGAGAGAGGAGAGAACTAAAAAGGCGCACTTATAAGCTGAGTATCGAGGATATTCGGTCAAGTGCCGCTATTGCTGGATCGTTTTGCTCCATAAACCTGATATTCGTCGTGACGCGCTAAGTTCTGTCGCTGATAACCAAACATGGAGTAATATCTGGCTCAAACACTGGAGCGAGACGAACAACGATATCGGGGAGAATCCGCAAGTCGCAAAGTTCATTGGTGTATATGTTGCATTTGGACGTGGTTCAGCTGTCCTTGTTTTTGTACAGAGTATGATACTTTGGTTGGCCTGCTCCATCAAGGTACGACGCGCACCAATGGTGTTTGAAACACTGACGCAGGAACTGCCCAGGCTAACAAACCGACAGGCCTCACGCACCCTCCATGAGCGGATGGTGTTTGCAGTTTTTAGATCTCCCATGAGCTTCTTTGAGCAGACCCCAGCCGGTCAAATCCTGAGTCGATTCACTAGGACGTGGAAACCAAGACCGTGGCCACCTCATACTAGACACAGTAGACCTGTGTATCCATTTTCTTGCGTCATTTACAGCTGACGGGATGTCTTGTAGTGACATATATCGTATCGACGAGTCCCTTGCCAGACAGTTCAACGCGTTGTTTGTTAGTGCTGCGAGAGGTTTCTTTATTCTTGGCGTAATTGCCTTGGGAAGCCCACTCTTTGTGGTGTTCATCATCCCACTCGTGCTTTTATATACATACATGCAGCGATATTACTTGGGAGCCAAGCGAGAACTCAAGCGCTTAGATAGCACGAGCCGCAGTCCCGTTTTTGCCCACTTTCAAGAGACCCTTGGGGGTGTTGCAACTATTTGTGCCTACGGAGCACAGGAACGATTTATCCGAGAAAATGAACGTCGAGTCGACGCAAACATGAATGCCTATATTCCGTCGATAAAAGCAAATCGGTGGTTGGGGTTTCGACTAGAATTTGTTGGGTCTGTCGTAATTCTACTAGCAGCCGGGTTCGCCGTTGCAGGCGTTGCCTTCAGATCTGGTCAGTCAGAAGGCATGGCCGGCTTGACGATATCATACGCTCTGTCAGTGCAGCTCCCCACCGGGTCCATTCGGAGATGCTCTGGATTATACTGACAGTCAGCAGACAAATCACACAGTGCCTCGGCTCGCTAGTCCGAGCCACCGGGGAGGTTGAGACGAACATAGTATCTGTAGAGCGTGTCCTCGAATTCCCTGGCTTACCCAGCGAGGCTCCGGATGTTCTTGAGAGCCACCGGCCGCCAGGTAGCTGGCCAGCCCAGGGGGCCGTGAAGTTTGTCAATTATAGCACTCGCTATAGACCAGAATTGGACCCGGTCCTCCGAAACATCAACCTTGACAAAAGAGCCAAGGAAAAGATTGGCATTGTCGGCCGCACTGGGGCTGGCAAAAGCTCGCTAGTACTGTCGCTCTTTCGAATCGTCGAACCGGCCTTGGGGAGCGTCCACATTGATGACCTCAATGCATCGAGTGTAGGACTCTTGGGCCTTCGGCGGCGAGTGTCGATCATTCCTCAGGACTCTGCTCTGTTTGAAGGAACAATTCGGGACGATCTGGACCCAGACAAGGCCCATGACGATACTGAGCTTTGGGTCGCTCTTGGTAGGTGCGAAACCAGTCATTGAGTCGTTTGGCGACCTGGACTAATGTACCAAATTTACAGAACTTGCTCAACTGAAGGGGCACGTTGCCGGAATGTGTGGTGACCTAGACGCGAAAGTATACGAAGGGGGTAAGATGGCAGGAACGTTGTGTCACCTCTTTCGCTTAATACTCACCGTTGACTGTACAGGTTCAAATCTTAGTCAAAGCCAGAAGCAGCTGATATCATTAGCCCGCGCACTGCTGAAGCCCTCGACTATCCTAGTGCTAGACGAAGCAACCGTGAGTATCGTATCCGTCTTGACCGCTGTCGAAACTTCTTTTTATGCAGAAATCATGCTGTAAACTCCGAAGCTAATTGAATGTAGGCCGCGGTGGACGTTGGGACGGATATGATTATCCAGAAGACTCTTCGGGACAATGAATCTGGCCATCGCACCATCATTACAGTTGCGCACCGCATTCATACTGTCATCGACTCTGACCGCGTGGTGGTGCTTGATGACGGCGAGATTATTGAAGCTGATACGCCGGCTGCTTTGATAGAGCAAAAGGGGGCCTTTTACCAGCTTGGTAGAGAGGCAGGTCTAGCAGAGTAGTAAGCAACATTTAAGACGTCGGGCTTGAGTGCACAAATCATGTGGCGACCTGTTTCTGCCGTGTCGAGCAAAACCATGGATTAAACCGCCAGCATCAGCACGAGCGTAGTCCTCCCCCTTTGAGCTCTGGGGTTTGCCACTTAATTCACGATTGGGGCAGTGCAGCATAAATGATTCATTCTGCGACCGATTATGCTGGTGTCGTTCATTTTCAAGCCCAGACTATGACAATCAGCATGCGATGTGTAGAAAAGAAACTACAATTGCACCCGGTTCTAATAGATGCGCTAATCAAGGCGCATCTTGAATGCAAATCTGTGTAATTCTAGAAAACGCAGTTGGCAACGTCATTTGCGACTTTGTCCATCGTGGCGAAGTAAGGGTTCCGAGTTGCTCGGGTGAGTCATTGAGTCATATGTCGGGCCTTGTAGAAGGTGTGAAGTAGCTTAAACCCTAATTACCTAGGTATATTGACAAGTTGCCGAAGGTTTCAAGAGTGACTGCCTAGTAACTAGAGGCTTAGTGACGGGCTTTGCTAAATTTTAGAAAAAGAAGGCTTCTAGAAGCCGTAGCGCAACGCTGCTTGATGACAACGCGGGCGAATCCCGCCTTCTCTGATTGAGAGCTTGGGAAGTAGTTAATAAAAGGGGCGGAAACCGCTAAAAAGCCACTTTAGCGATGCGGAATACCTCGGGGATGATGAATAAACACACCAGACCCGACATGAACGTAGCCCCGAGAAAAGTGTCCATGGTAACAGGCGGTGGCTGTGCTGTTGAGATTTGTCACTTGACGAGGTTAGGTAGTCGGTGGAGAGTACACCGGAGCACCGGGAATAAATAAGTGAATGAGCATGGAAACAAAGCCACTTTATGGAGAAGTATGAAACTGAGTTCACCCATAATCAGTATGGTCAGCGTAATGGCGCTTAAGCCATCTACAAGCGCGATCCACGGGGATCAAGACTTGACAGGTGAGAATGTGGGGTGACCAAAGACAAAATAAGACAGCATGACAAGATGGTTATGTTTTTCGCGGGATTTGCTAGAGTAGGAGCATATGCACAAGCAACGAAGGTCCTTGGACGGGTTTCTGGGATTGTTCGTCGTCAAAGGTGCTCCTAGCTTCCAAATGACGTAGCTTTCCTCTTGGCTTTTTGAACAGCCAGAGGAGAGACGTGTGTTGCAAACATCTGCCCCTCCCCCCCTGAAAGGCGGTTGTGCAACACACTGGTAGCAAACATGCAGTTTGGGCGCAAGATGGTTTGCCGTGCGACGAACAGGCCTTGGTTGTCTGAAGTGTATCAAGCCATTCCCCAAGGCTCACTCGGTATCGGGGGTCCCAGACACTGCATGTGCTATCGAATGCATGCCAAGCTTTGACACCAGACTGGAAAGTTCTGCCCTTGGTCTGTCACAAGAGCCCCGCGACGCTAATCAGGGGTCTGCGGCACCCGACGACAGCATGTTCACAGAGGACAGCAGCCCGACATGACATTCTGGCATCAATGATGCAGCCTCTAGCGTCTTGGCAGGCCCCGGCTTCGCGTGTTGGCGTGGTATCCAGATCGAGTCCATTTGCAGTTTCCAGAATTCGCCATGGCCAGTGCAGGGCTGTGCATGGCGGGGGAAACAAGGGGGCAATGCATGAGTGTACGGAGTACCAAAGACCAGACACAGCCGACGGCAAAGGCGCAGGTACCGCAGCGCCAGGGAAGCCGTGGAAGTGGCCTCGCGCACGCCACACACTCTGTGAAGACCAGACCAGCCTCTTTGTTCTGTGGGCTGACCACGGTGGCTCAGAGGTGCCAGGCTGAATCCGGCTCCGCGCCTGGTGGACCCGGCCCGGGCGCCAACCCAAGCCAAAGCCTGGTGCAACTCCGGTCTGGTCAATGTTTGTGTGCCGAGTGTTCAAACAGCCAGGATGGATATATAAGATTGAGACGCAGCCAGCCAAGGAGGGAAAAGGTCAACCGGTAGGCAGCGACAAAAAAGACCGTCAAGCACACTTGGCCCTGATCCCCTCACCCATCATCGCACCTGCCTTTGCCACTGCGCCAAGCCCAACCGACATCTACGAGGAAAGAGCCATCAACATGCGTCGCCTTTCGAGCGCCAGGGACAAGCTGTTCCGGTCTTCGTCCCGGACTTCATCCCAGTCCAAGAAATCCGAGAGCTCTCGTGGGCTGTCATCGAGCACCTCTGGTCCCTCATCGTACCGTAAGACAATCCCTCAGATGGTGAAGTAAAGCACACGCCTACTAACAAGAAGCAGCCGGGCCAAACAACTTCAGCGACGCCGCCCCGCCCGCCTACACACCTGCGTATCAACCCGCACCCGCGCCCGTATTTCTATCGCCACCCTCGCATGCACCCGTGCCCGTACCTTCACCTGTACCTGCACCCGCGCCCGCGCCTGCCGGTGTCTACGGAGGCGTCTCCGATGGCGACCGCTACGCCAACTTGGCCAATTTCGACACCATCTTGCTCATCGACGATTCTGGATCCATGGCCGGCAGCCTCTGGAGAGAGGCGCAAGATGCCCTGAAATCCATCGCCGAGATTGTCACAATGTACGACGAGGACGGCATCGACATGTACTTTTTGAACCACAAGTCTAGCCAGACACCCAGCGACAGGTACAAGGCCAAGGGCGGTTACTACAACGTAGCCAGAAAAGACGTGATCGAGACGATTTTTGGCAATGTCAGCCCTTACGGTGCCACCTACACGGGCAGAAGATTGGAACAAATCCTCCTCCCTTACATGAGAAAGTTGGCATCAGCCAACGACGTTGACGATGTCAAGCCCATCAACCTGATCGTCATCACCGACGGTGCACCCTCCGACAACCCTGAGCAGGCCATTCTGCAGGTTGCCAAAGCCCTCGATCAGCAGGCCGCGCCATCCTACCAAGTCGGCATTCAGTTTTTCCAGATTGGCTCAGACAGCTCCGCCACCAGTGCGCTACAACAACTAGACGATGGCTTGGGTCGCTACGGCGTTCGGGATATAGTCGACACGGTGTCGTGTCAGTGGGAGGATGCAGGAAGGCACCGTGCCAAGAGGCTCACGGGTGACGCCATCCTGAAGGTTGTCTTGGGCGCCGTGGACAAGCGACTCGACGAGCATCGACTCACCAACAAGAAGTAGGCGGCCATAGCTGTCGCTACCGGACGGGCCAGTTTGATATGCAAGTGTGGCCGAGGATGGATCTGCCGTTGATGGAGAGAGAGGCACTAAGCGTTATAAAAAGAAGACGCTCCAAGAAGGCCTCGTAGTCTGACGACACGGGATTAAGTTGAGCAATGGGCGGCGGAGAAGATTTGATATTGTTTAAAGCAAACAATCTGCCGATTTCATAAACTAATTCTATGTACTTTTTTTAAAAAAACCATTTGTAACTCCATGTCGGGTCCGTGAAAGCCGGCTTGTGGCATATTGTCATGTTGACGTGCATTTGTGTAGGGTGATTAATATTACCCCTAAGAAAATGCAATCGAGAAACATGAGCAGGTCCATGATCATATATCCGGGAGCCGACGAGACTTGCTCGGCGTATTCATGGTGATTGAGATTCTCTTGCAGCCGTGAATATCGCAGTGTCAGCAGTCAAGAAATTGCCAAAATCGCAACCCTCATTAACAACATGAAACAACACTAGACTCTGGCACAGCCCTCACCTGCCAGCACGATACTCACCAGCCTCACATTTGCCAAAAGGGATAGATACTTCGAAGCTCGCGCCGGGTTGTGGGGGCGAGACTGGGAATCTTTATTCCACGGTACCAAACAGCGATTAGGCTGACGGGAAATTCCGGTGTAGGCTTCGGCGCGTCGTGAACCCCGACCGGCACCATGTCAGCCCTGACGACTGCATTCCGGCAGATGACAAGTACCAGACTGTTGACAACGACCAAGGCTATTATTAGACTGCGGAACAGTGGCCGCCAAGTCGCCTTGTTGGGGTGAGATGCCGCCGCGGATGAAATGTGGGTTTTCCGATGGCGTGCTGAATATCCAATTGTATGTACATTGGGTAGGCCTCTTGCGTGCGCAACCTGACAGTTTCTCGGTATTTCCCCATCCTCGCTCGTTTCTTGAATAGTGTGACAAGGGTTCAGTATGAGGGCTTGAATTCATCGAACAACAGTCTTTGGCGTTAAAGGTCCTTGGTTTACTCGAGGCCCAGATGGCCAGACAGCTTCCATTTATACAAGAAGTCAGTGACATCTCTATCTAGGTCTCGTGGTGGCCCTCGTGTCACCTCTGACCAATAAAGAGAGTCAATTGTTGCGCTTACAAAAGCCATCGTCACCTAAACGCCATCGCTTTAGCTGGGCAGCATCCTACGCGCACATGATGGATTTTCATGTCTGTCCCGACAGTTGTCGGGGTTGACGCTTGAGTCATGGAGCAAGGGCCAATCTCCGGCTTACAAATGTGCCCTTTTGGTCCCGGCACTCCTATTCGCAACACGTCGGAGATAACTTCCAAAGCCGAGGCTTCGCTTACGTTTATTGATACTGATGGTACCGAGTACTGGGCCCGTTTTAAGTTAATCGAGAAAGGTGTGAAGCGGACCCTTGTGGCTGTATAAATAAGCCGTCACTTGAACGGGCCCAAGGAGCCAAGGCGGCCCCAGCCGGGTCCGGCCCAAGGTGGGTCCGGGGTATTCTCACGCCGGCACTGCGCCTGGCGGCTATCCACGTCGGTGGGCAGCGCCGGCGCAAAAGTATGTATATGCAGACACGGCATTCGTATAGCCCAGGGACAGTTGAACAGACATTTGCCATTTCATGCGGGCCGCACATCGAATTCCTGTCTGGGAAACTATTCTGCGTCGCAGTGGCGCGTAAGTTGCCCGTCGCCGAGTTTATTGCCCTCCCCCACCTTGTGTACCTATTGTCCTGGGCTTTGATTTGCCGCGTAAAAGGGGTGTGTGCTTGGGAACGGCCTCGGCCACAGTCACCACATAAGTAGGGGCCTTTCCAGAATCTTTCTTCTTTCTTCTTATAGGCCCGGATCTCCGATTGGGCCGTGGAAAGGCATCCCGGCACTTCAACCTGCTTCCTCTTGCAATGTGTCCATTCTCATGTGATTACTATTCAACCCCAGTTGAGTAATGCAAGACTTAAAGAGAGCAGAGAGACATGTCGAAATCCCTTCACACTCGGTAGGGAGATAGGACAATGGCAGGATTACTAGATCCCCCGTGTGCTGGCCGAGGACATCCCTCGTCCGCGGCCCCTTCCCACGCGTCTCACATCACTTCGCCAACGCAGCACAAGCGCCGGCGACGGGTTCACTGCAAGTCCCGTCTCGGCTGTCTCAGCTGCAAGCAGAGAAAGATCAAGTGCGACGAGCTGCGCCCAAGCTGTTCTCATTGTCACCGCTGGGGCTGCAGTGCATCTACGTCCACTCACCGGACCTGTCGCAGCCCTTCAAGGCGCTCCTGACCGGCTTCACGATGGAGGACTTCAAATTCTACCACCACGTCCTCACCACAGCGCTCCCGAGTCTTCCATTCGGAGGGCATCGCGTCTGGTGGCAAGTCGCCGCCACAGCGCACCATGTACGTTCTGCGTAAAAGCCCCTTATCCCATCCCCCAAGTTGGCAATGCCTTGGTGCTGATCCTGCGCGTTGGGCTTTCCCCAGCACGCGCATCTAGGACACGCTCTGCTGGCTCTCGGTGCCTCGCACCTCTCGCAGCATGGCGCGGGCGACTACACGGTTCAGGCTCTCTGCCACAGGCTCGACGCTATAAGACTGCTGGCGGGCGCGCTGGACGCGGAGCCAAAGACGGCAGTCGACGCGGACGCCTTGTTCGCCGCAACGTACTGCCTCATGTCGCAGTCGTGTCTGATGCCGAGGGACGGCATGGCCGAGTACATGACCTTTATGAGGGGGGCCAGCCTCGTCATGACGACTATACTGCCCGAATTCCCGGATTCCATCTTTGCCGAGTTTGCAAGGCACGCCATTGTCGCCTCGCTGGCTTTGGCGGCTCCGGAAGAGCCTGAAGATGATGAGACTATCATGAGCCGCGAGGAATCTGTGAAAAGGTTGAAGCGTTTTTGGCAGAACAGCGCAGAATGGGAGCACTAGTCGTGGCTGGTGAGCCGTCTTGCTGAAGCGACCGGCTGTTCTGTTGGTGGTGAGTTGGTATTCGTAAACTTATAGGCCGAGACAACGGCCTTTGGTTTTTGAATATGTTGAGCCTATGGGGATTTTCACAGCCTGCTCCTACTGCTGCCCTTATTCACGACTGGCGAAAGTACTGCCTGTGGATTATCAGCCATTCATCATGGGACATTGAAGTACTGTGAAAGCCTAGTCTATCAATCTCGTGCTAGTTGGTTGATTTATGGGTATTCGTGGCCAAATAACTGGTTAAAGTGTATTGATAATATTAAGCGTATGAAACACAGTTATTTGCGGTACTCTACATGCTTGTTCATTATATAGAATAATAGACGATACTTGTATCATGCTTGCCGTCTTACTTAACTCGAAGAGGGAAATAATAAGCAATTTGATATAGAATAATAGACTAGATATCTCATGGGTTAGGCCAAGTTCAGATAAAAAGTCGGCGTCAATACTCGAATCATGTCGCAGTACGAGAGAAGGCCTCTCTGCCCCGAAATGGGTACTCTGGGGTTGGCTGGGTAGACCAAGATTGAGGGTATGCGACCCCCTGGCAAGGTGAAGGCGCCAAACTCTTGTTGGTCCAGAGTCCTATAAGGCTTCATGGGTCCGTGCCATTTCAAGCTTTTGAAAACGGCATACGGTGTACAAAACGAGGATGGGTGGAAGTAATGCGCGATTGGAGCACTTCTCCGCAGCTGCAAGGGGCGAAACCCCATGTACAGCTCTCGAGGGTTTTCGGAGCTTTTAAAAGGAGAGGTGGACTTGAAGTCAAATGCGGGGGTGGAGCCAGGTCATCAAGGTCGCAATTGAAACGCACAGGCATGGACCCAACAACTCGGTAACTTCAGCCGTGGGAACTGATTGGGCTTGCTGCTTACCTGCCCACCTCCAGCGGCGCCATCACGGGCTCGCCGATGCCAATCACAGTTTACTACCCCGGGGAACCGAGTCAAATGTCATGAAGAGGGCGGTGACAAGCAACTGGAACGCGCTGGTAAATCTATGCCGTGTTGCTGCCGGGAAGTATGAACATTGAACAGCCGGCCGAACCGGCATATCTAGACTGGTTGCCAGCGGCCCCACCCAATGAACTATTATCGCCCCGTAATTGGCTAGCGTCTCTTGGTAAAGGAAGGTTCCGTAGACGTGTTCTAGAATGCGACTGGAGGAGCAATTCACACTGGAGGCATTGGCGCTCGAAACATTTGATCAATCCCCGTCTGGGCAGCGAATGCTCCAGCGAGGTCACTCGGTCTGCAGCCGACTAGAAGCCTGTCTCCTCGGGGCAAGTGTCGACTCTGTACATAAACTTCGTACAGCTTCTTACCAATTCACATTGGGAGAGCGGGCGATCCCGTGGCTAGACACGCCTCTCCTCTGCCGGCTGGATAACAGGCAGCCACGGTGGATAAATCGAAACAGAGCAAGCCAAACTCGGTTCCTACATGCACAACTCTGAATACTTTATTCGAGCGGGTTGATCAAATCAAAAAATTATTTGCAGCACACACACGTATACTAAACAATTCGGTAGTAGTTTGCTTTAAAAAATAATAAGTACCGCAGATATCAGTGCATCTAAGTACTTTGCCAGACTGTCGTTCCATCACCGACTACTCCGTAGTTCTCCAAGTACCTCAAGAGCACCAAATGATTGGTTCGCTGCAGGCGTAAAAGCGGGACCCATCTACCACCCCTCAAACACCAACCTCGCGATACTTCATCGCACATCTTGACACGACTGATGATCGATTCCTCAGCCATGCCAAGCGCTACAGCATCTCCACACCACAAAGAATACAATATTCACAATGCGTTGAATACGGCCCACACAGCCATCAGCATTCATCGTGCTCAGATCCACCACCAGAGACAGGCGCGTCTACGCCCTCCAAGAAACATGGGCTGAGCCATCCAGACTTGCCGCCAACGACATGCTAGGAGAACGTATCCAAGCATCGCCGCCCCAACGCTCCAAAGAGAAACCAAGCGTTTGGGCCCCACGGTGACCCGGATATCACTTGAGACGCGTAGCCATGCCCAACGCAGCACCGCAACACCACGACGTCTGCACAACTAAAAAACCGGCTTCAACCGAGACCCATGTCATAAACAACGCGCAGCTCAATTGCCAAGTCTAATCAAGCGTCGAATCCCTAAAACAAAATAAACCTAAATCCACGGATGCAATCGCAATTCCGCAAACAAAATAAATCCCCCCCCGAATGGCCCATTGCAAATCCATACCCTGGATCAAAAAGTCTTGGTAGGAAACCAAAGCAAAAAATGTGCTACCAAGAGCCACATATAAACCCAAAAGCTCATCCGAGTTACAAAATGTAAAACCTTGTCGCCATCTGCCCAATACAACCCGAATAACAGCCAACCCCCCTCCTCTCTCACTGCATACAATACACGTCCGCAAGGGCAACCGAATGCGCCGAGATGTTGCTCCCCGTGTCGTTGCGACAGGTAACGACGGGCGTCGTCACCAGCGCCACCCGCCAGTGCTTGGCCTGCAGCTCGGTCGGCTCCAGCGCCGGCCAGATAGGCAGCATGCTCTGGCTGGAGAAGCGCGCGCCCACCTCGGGGAAGCGAAAGTCAAACGTGAGCCGCGACGCGAGGATCTTGGACGACAGGTCCCACGCCAGGTCGGCGACGAGCTCGAGGTCGCGGTACGCGTCGGCCGGGTTGGCCAGGCGGTTGAGCAGCGGCTGGATGGTGGCCATGAGGGCGGTCGTGATGTCGCCCACCTTTTCACGGTGGAACGCCAGCGGCTCCAACTTGATGATTGCCTCGAGGATGTGGGCTTGCCGGTCGAGAAGGGGCTGCCGCTGCGCCGAGGGTTGGCCTGTCGCGACAAGACAAGTTTGTTTGGGTCAGGCGCGAGTTTTCTAATACAACACAAGGGGGCGGGAGCTTCTTACCTTGGGTCTTTTCGAGATCCTTTTCCAGCTCGAGCAGCGCGTAGGTGCAGTCGTCGTTGGAGCCGATCCATGCGTTGGGCACCCAGACCCGGTTGACGATGTAGTCGATGATGACGCGCGTGACGAGGCAGCACTTGGGGTTGTCGGCGCGGAGGTGAATGTCGAGATAGGAGGCGGCCTCCTTGGCCGAGAGCGGGTGGTAGGTGGCCAGGAGGACGGGCCACAGGGGCAGGGTGCTCATCTTCATGGCCATGGCCGGGTCGGGCACGTTGGCGTGGCGCTCGACAAACGCGCGGATCATGGCGTAGAGCTCCATGATGGACTCGTTCCACGCCGCCACCGCCTGCTCGTTCATGTGGACCAGCGGCCCGGAGAGGATGCCTCGCGCGGCGGCCGCGTTGCCCGCCGACGAGGGAGCGCTCCCGTACTCCGACATGCTGGGTTCGGCAGGTCGTCCGTACCGGGACCGAGACGTCGTCGGCGTCTGGGGGTAATACTCGCGCGGAGGCTGGTGGTGGCCGAATGCTGTGCCAGGACGGGCCGGAGCATGTTCGGGGGCGTAGCCCGGCTGGAACTCTGCAGCAGCAGTAGGTTGGTACCGAGTAGGTGCCTGGTATGGTCTTCGCGTCGGCGGACGAGTAAACGACGACGCGGCGTTGCTGAAGAAGGGGTTCCCGGCCTGCGCAAACCGGCCTTGGGCAGAGCTCCACGACGACGCGGATCCCTGGTATCGTCGTTCGTGGGAGAATGCAGACGGGGCCCGAGGCGGCCCAGCTTGAAGGGGGCCGAACTTGGGGGGAGCAACCGCACAGGATGTGCTCGGGGCCTGGAAGACCGAAGGCGGACGAGGCGGAGGCGCCATCTCACCGTACGGGCGAGCGTCTGCGTTCTCCTGATGTCTGGTGTCCTGGTAGTTGTTAGCACCGCGCGCGGTTCTGGACTTCATGGACAAGATGGACTGGTGAGCGGCTTGGTTGTCCTGCACCGAATCAGCCAGCGTCTCGATAGCACGCGCGACAGACTGCGGATCCGAATGCTTCATGAGCCACAGCGAGCGCCGATTATTGACTTGATCCTCCAAATAGCGTATCGAATCCTCGAGGCTCTGTCATCCAGTACAAGCATTAGCGTCTGGTGCTTTCATCTCAACCGCCAGCCTCTTCACAGCCTTGGCAAACGCACCTTGACAATGTCATCACGAACGTCAGCGTCCGCGCCCTCATCTTTCCTCGTTGCCTTCTCCTGAAGCTTTTTGAAATCCTCCCTCAATCGCTGCAGATCGCCCATCACCTTCTTAACATCCAGCTCCGCCTGCTCGCGCTTCTTCCTCTCCGCGTCAAGCTCAGTGCGGAGGTCCCTAATAGTCTGCGCCTTGTCGTCCATCTCGGCGTTGAGAATGGTGGCATCCAGGCTCAAGCGCGCAACGGCCTTGTCAGTGTCCTCCTGGTCGAGGGTGACGTTCATCAGGGCGTCCACGAGCTGGCTGGTCTCTTGGCTGATGACCTGTCCGACTTCTTGGAGCTGGCCGACGATTTCGCCAGACTCGCTCGACGACACGCCAGGCATTCGACGGAGAGAATGTTGGATCTTGACGAGTATTTCCTGTGCAAATCGAGATTTTTCAAAGGCAGGCTGTTGCGAAACATGAGCTGCCGTCTCGTGCGAGAGGTTGGGGGCAAACCTTACATGATTATGCGACATTTGGCGAATTCGCTCGGCGCGAGCCGCGCCACCAAGCGGCGACGAAAAGTCCACAGAAAGCATACTACCTCCTTGATAAGGCGCCGGCTGTTCGTTCTCGAGCTGCTTTCTCAAGAGGGCAACCAGGTCTGCAGATTCATACACAGACTGCCCCTCCGAGCCTGTCATTCTGCACAGACAGACTCTGAAGACTGCCGATACGACTTGGGACCTATCTCGAGATGGGAAGCGCTGGGTAATTTTGCGTTCCTGTTGCAATTAGAATAGTCTGTATGACCAGATGCCAGACTACACTCCGATGCAGCACTGTTTGTTGCCCGTCAGCACGCGTCCGATTTGTTTATCCGAGGCAAAGCAGCAGTGAAGCGGGATCTGGGACTGTACGCGCGACCACTTTCGCAAAGGTGTCCCGAGTGAATATAAAATGTGAACCATCTACCTGTGAACGTTCAAACGCCACGGCCCTTCAAGAAACGCGGCCTCCCCAACAAAGAGTTAAAGTCTGATCGGCTTGCTCCGTAACAATCACTAGCAAGCCACAGGAACAAGTCACTTCTGCAAAGCAATGAACGATTTTTGACGACGCAAATCGAATAAAATGCAAAGGGCATCAAGCAACTCACCGAGAGAAAATAAACAAGCTTTGCAAGCTCAATCTAGCACAGAGAGAATACGGCTTGTGGGAAAATTAGAAACATTCAAGAAGCGGGCTAGGAACAAGGTTTAGAAATGGCAAAAGGCAAATTAGGCGCGCCGCGTAGGCACCGATGGCCACTTGGCAGGTTGGCATTTCGACCCGGAGTTGACGTGAATCTGAGATGAATGTGAACAGACAAGTTGTAGAGCGCCGAAGTGCGCGGTGCACGGAGCTCATTGACGGCCAATTCCACGGCCGGGCCTGTGAAAGAAGGGCTCAATCGTGCCTGACTTTCTGAGAGACATAAGTGCTAGCCCACGTGAACCGTGTACCTGTTACAAAGTTCAAAGTTTGGTGAAATTAGGTGCGTGAGAGACGTGCTTGGCTGTGACATAAGTAAGTCCAGATGTCGGTATTCCGACTCAATTCATCTCGGTGCAATTGAACCTAGAGAATATCTCTCGCCTCGAAATAGTGCAGAATACATACTCTCATTCTATTCGTCACGATGCTCTGCAGACTGTACCGTAGCACAAACCCTACGTCACTCCCATCCCAGCCATGAATCAAATTACAATTGCATATATTTTTACTATAGACAGTGAGCGAACCCGAGGCTACAACGCCAAAACCACCCTCAACAATAGACATGTATTCCTCCTTGGTAATGTCGTCAACGTTCTAGTACAAACATTAGAGCAAAAGGAAGCGGGGTCATGTCAGTCATATCACCAGGAACCTCAGGCGTTGACCGACAGTGGCTTCGTACGCGATTCAAGGCAAAAATGCCATCAAAGAGAACCTGCAACATCGTGTCTAACTTAGTTTTTGCGTTTTAGTTCGGGGCATGGGTGCAGCATGGCGGAAACTATTGCGAGTTGGGCTCCGAGACCAACGGCCCTCTGCAGCGAGGCCCATGGCAGATTCGGGCGGAAAAAGTCGTAACAAGTGTTGCACAGTACGCGCTGGAGATTTCAGTCTCAGTGGGGAGTTCCAAAAACTGTCATTCATTTTGTAATTTTCACTAACCTGTCGAATACCTAGATGATGTCAGGGCAATGGCCAGCCATGTTAGCTTTTTATATGGCTCTGGTGCGAGAGAAGAGACTGCTGTAGACAGCATCCACAACGGGAGATGCATTAATCATCCTGCCGCCAAAGTATCTTCCGTTCAAGCCCTTGATGGCATTTTCACCGCCTTGGACTTTGTCGAACTTGAGATAGACGTCACCCTTGGAGTTCGGATCGACGGCAATATGAACAACATGTCCATATTGCCTCTCAGCTTCCGCTCGAATGTCGTCTTCGAGTTCCTTGACCCAGTCGTCGCCCTCTTCCCTAATTGTCGAAACCGTCAGTTAGCCTATTCAAGTGCAAACAGATGTGGTCGTGCTGTACTTACTCTTCGGGGTCAAACATATTGTGCAGGACAACACAGCGACTAGCCATGTTGACGTTGACAGGAAGCGGCTTCGCTTCGGTCTTGGGCTTCACAACGACCTGGTCTTCTCTTCCATTAGAGGCTTCGTCGGTCCTGGCAAGTTTTCTCATCAATGCATCGCGACTGTAATTATTGAAGTTTACTCCTGCGACATCTGTGTCATCGAGGGCGCTTGCGCCGCCGGCCTTGTCGCTGTCTCGTCCCCCGGCTCTATCAAACGTAGAAGCCTGGCCACCGCGGCCGCCGGCTCCAGAGAAGGCGGAGCCTTGGAAATTGTTCTGTCCTGAAAACCTATGCATCAAGTTGGCCGTGCTCTCAGGGGTAAACTTATCGTTGCCCAGGCCGACTCGGATGGGTCGGCCTGCAAGATCAAAGCCGTTCATCTTCTCCAAAGCTTCTCGGGCCTGGGTTGCATCACGGAACCTGAAATATCGCAGTTAGAATTTTGCTTCAAGTATTCACGAGAGAAAAACAAAAGGAAGCAAAGTCGAGGGATGGCCTACTGAACAAATCCGTATCCGCGGCTGCGGCCATTATCGTCCTTCTGGAGTTGGACATACTCCAGCTCACCAAATGGCTCAAAGACGGCTTGTAGGTCTTGTTCCGTGACGTTGAAGTGGATATTACCAACATAAAGGCGGTGGAAAGGGACAGAGTTCGGATTTCCACTCGTCGACTCGGTATTGCGAGCTTGTCGATTCTTCTCAGCTTCTGTGAGCTTGACAATAATAGGAATACCTGCCAATGGCTTTCCAGTGAGCTGAAGTGCCTTTTGAACCGTTTCTTCGTCTTTGAATTCAACATAACCAACTCTGGAGGCAAGCATGTTAGTACAAGATCACTCACAACCATCAAAGAACAGACTTGGACTTACCCCTTGGATCTTCCACTGATGCGGTCCTTGACAATCTGGGCCTCGTTTACCGGGCCGGCATTCTCTTCAAAGAACCTCTTCAACTTGTCACTTCGCAAACGAGCAGCAAGCTGCTGCACGAAAACGGTACGGCTGTCGCGTTCGTCTTCATTCAACTGCGGTGAACGAGATCGTCTGCCGGAAGATCGATCTCTTGCGCGACCCTGGTCCCTGCGGTTGGAGCGGTCGCGACGGTCTTTGCGATCTCTGTCATCTCGGGGACGATAACGCCGGCGAGGGGATCTTGAGCGGGAGCGGGAGCGGCCTCGTCGTCCACGATAGTAATCACCGTCCCTGTGTCGGCGTGAGTTGAACCGGTCTCTATCCCGGCTTTCACTGCGGCGTCTACTGCGGTGGCTTCCAGTATCACTCCGGGGGGTAGTCTCGCCTGGAGTGCCCTTACGGTGTCTTGGAGAAGTGTCCCGGCGATCGCGTCGGCGGCGATCTTGGCCAGCGTCCCGGTCGCGGTCGCGGCTGTCATCAGTTCCATTTTGGGGACGACCATTTTTGTCGCTTCTAGAAGAGTCATCATTCAGGGTATTGGAGTTTTGTTGTGCTGAACCTTGCGCGGTAGCCTCCAAGAGGGCTTCGACGTCTAAGCCCGACATGATCACCTACTCTCCTGATTTTGCGGGCTTCGCAAGGATGCGCTAGCTATATGGATGAAATTGCGTCAAAGTCTTTGGCCTTGTAGATGATATAAATAATGCTTTTCAATGTGTCGTACGCTGCGGGTATACGCGGTTGGCGAGCATGGGATGTGTTGGTTGAGCTCAAGGACTGATCGTCAGGCTCCGAAGTGGAGGCGGCGAGAAGACGATCCATGTAGATCACGTGATGAAGCGACGCCAAATTTTACACTTGTGGCTTGCGGCACTTGCGAAGGGGATTATGGGGGCACGAGGCTGCCAAAAATCCCGCCCTACTGCGAAACCGTATCGGATATTTCAACTACGCAGAACGCCAGGAAACCATGTAGAGAAAAAGAAGTAATGTAGTATTAAGGTAAATCTGCCGTGTCCAAGTGCTACCTGACAGGATATCAATGTATAACATGAGCATCTCTCCACGTTCATCGTCTGCACCTACCAAGCGGCGCATTCTTCATTGTTGATGCTTTGCGCCACCAGCGGCAATTATTAACAATTATTATCTTCGTCTTATACGTCAACTGCCCAAACCCGCCAACGCCGTGCCGATCTAGGCAAATGTGAAAAAAAAAAAAATTATGCATGTAGACCAAATGTACAGCGGCTCAAGGGTCTAGTGGAGACTGTTTTGGAATCGCGTCTACCGACACGGGATTTACTTGGTCTTGATGGAGGTTTGTAGCTCCGTGCCAAAAATTTGATCCCAGAACTTGCTGGTGACGCCAAAGCCCAGTTCATAGTCGAGAAAGTGATGGGCAAGATGGTACTTCTTTAGCTGCTTGTACCACAGGGGCAGGTTCGTGTGATGCAGGAAGTAGTGTGTTAGGTCGTAGCAGATGTAGCCAAAAATGCCGCCACAGTAAACAGCAGTGCCCGCATGCCAATTGTAGAAGAAGATGGCGTGGGCCAGCTTCCAGAATGGAGAGGCCAGGATGACAAACAGAGCAGGAGGCATAACCAATCGATACTTGTCCATTGGGAGATAGTGATGGATTCCATGGAGCAAAAAGTGCAATGTGATGAAAACGCGGTTGTCCGGGAGGTAGCTATATTCACGGGTCAGCGGCTTGCGGCATCGGTGGCCACGAGTTGGGAACGACTTACTCATCCAAGTGGAATAGGAATCGGTGTAGACAGTATTCTACAAAGGTCCAGAAAAAGACACCGAATACCCAGTAGCCACCCAGGACAAATGGATTATGAAGCCCCTGGCTAGCGATATAAGTACCGTATGCGACAAAGGGCAGCCACAGCGACGGGACAATCCACCAGGGGGTCTTGGTGAGCGGCTCTAGGAAGTTGCCGAAGAGAGGCGCTGATTCGCCACCCTTGTAGTGACGAGGGCGATGAACTTGGTCCAAATAGAAGGCTTTGCTGAAGCCGCCGTTCCAAACCTGCAGGAACAGAGGCCTGCTTAGGTCCAAAAACTTGTGCTTCTTGAAATCATGGGTGTAGTCGGTGTCCTTGCTAAGGTCTTCCTCGCACGACATGCCGGTTCGCGGGTGGACGTAATTGGCATCTTTTGAGGTTGCGGTCCCGTTGGCAGGTTTGGCAGAGCCATTCGTGGCGGGCGACTTCTCGTTGACGACAAAGCCGACGAGTGAGTCGTCAAGCACCTCGTACGCAGCCTCGGAGTGAGGGTGCGACGTGGGGTCCTTCAGTATCTCCTCGACATCCTTGCCAGCATAGTCAATGATCAAGCTGCCGCCACCAGGGTGGTCGTCGACAAAGTCTGTCACATCGTAGACCTTGGATCCAATGGTAACATAGCACGAGGAGGCAGAGCTGTGCGCCTCGACCTCTGCGCGAGTAAATGTAGGCAGCGTCCTGGCCGGCATCGTGACGTCTGGTAATGTTCGGTCGGTTCGGGATGGGCAGTTGGGCCGACGGTGAAGGTATTTGCAGGTCGCGCCACAGGAGTTTAAAGGGGAGCCGCAGTCGATGTGCGCGCTCTTGCAGGGTTCGACAAACTACTGAAGTAGAGGGAATGCAGCTTACAAACAAAAATAAAGGATGAAGAACAAGGGACGAAGATGTGCAGGGCACGGGAAATATTAATAGCGGGCGAGACATGAGGATGGTAAATGGCAAAGGCGAATCATGCGACAATATTTGGGTGGAAGGTTTTAATGACGATGCTCCTTTGGTCTTAGCGGTGCGAGGCATTGGCCGGCACTCACATGCACTCACACAGGCACCAGCATGCATTGAAGATTGAAGGTACTCTGTGGCAGCACCGGGTACTTGGGGAACATTGAAACCCGGGCCAGGCTGCAGTGCCCGCCGCTAATTACAGGAATGAGCGGGTGCCGAGGACGCAAAGTGGCGTTACTCTGGGTCGATTTGTCGCAGCACTGAGGTGTCAGTCACCGGGGATCGAATCTCGTTGCCTCAAGTGCTCGGGCAATTGTAGGGCAGAGGTAAGCAGTAAGTAGGCTATCCATTTGTCAAATGGAAACCCGGACAATCTCCACCCTCCGCCTCGTACGTACATGCCATTATGGGCGTGTACAGAGGGTAGCCTGGCTAGTATGAAGGGAGACTGGGTAAAAGTTGCATGATTAGCACCCGACCAAGCCGAGGAGACGCGGATGTTGGTGCCCTGAGCGGTCTGGTGCACAAGAGCTGGCAATGTTGAGTCAATGCGTGGCACAAGTACTCCGTAGAGCATAATAATAATACCAGTGGGCGGGAGATTTTATGATTTTGCTCCAGAGCACAACAACAAGCCCCTCAGGCTCCATCCATCTAATCTCCGGATTCCTACAAACACCAAGAGCTCTTCTTCGTCTTTTCGCCAACGCCGCCTCTATTACCTTTGACGACTTATCCGCCAGGAATTTTAATGGCTTAGAGCTTAGCAGCGCCACCAGCCCGACTCTGCGCATCTTGAAAGAGGGTGCCGTTTAGATACTTGAACCCCGAGTCCACGGCAACCGTAACGACCGTCTTGCCGGGTCCTAATTCCTTGGCCAGCTGCAGAGCAGCAACGACATTCAGCCCCGATGACGTCCCTACAAGAAGGCCCTCCTCCTTTGCGAGCCGGCGACAAATAGCGCGCGCCTGTTCCTCGTCGATGGCTCGAACTTCATCATACAGATCCCGATTGAGGTGCTGTGCGACGAAACCCGGGGCAACACCCTCAACAGAATGTGTCCCCGTCACGCCCTGGGTCAGCAACGGCGCCGACGCAGGTTCAAGAATGACAATCCGCGTCGACGGGGACTTTGACCTCAACACTCTCCCCACGCCCATGGCCATGCCGGCCGTGCCAACAGCTCCGCAGAATGCGTCAATCCCCCCAGGAACCTGTTCAACCAACTCGTGGCCGATGCCCTCGTATCCAACCAGAGCGTCTCGATTGACGAACTGGTCGGTGAAGTAATGGCCGTGCTCCCGGCCGATTTCCGCCGCCCGCTTGTTCATCGCAGGCAGCAAGTCTGGCGTCAGCTTTCCAGACGGACTGTGCGTAATGTCCAGGTCTGCTCCCAGCGCAGTCATCGACCGCAGCTTCTCCACGGCGACGGCGTCTGAGCAAAGAACTCGGAACCGATAGCCCTTTGCGGCGCAGACGAATCCCAGCGACGATCCGGTACTGCCGCCCGTGGCTTCAACCACCGTCATGCCGGCTTGGAGATCCCCGCGCTTCTCGGCTTCTTCAATCATGGATTTTGCCATTCTGTCCTTGTAGGACCCGGTAGGATTGTAGAACTCCAGTTTGATGTAGACGTTGGCGTATCCGGCCGGTACCACGTGCTTCAACTGCACCACGGGTGTTTTCCCAATTGCGTCCAAGATGGAGCCCATGGCAGCTGGCGCGTGTGATTGCATGGTTTGGTGTGTTGTGAATTCAAGTGCACGATATGTATCTTGTACGTGAGACACCAGGAGCGGGAGGGAAAATACCTCTTCCCTCCCAGTCTATTAATTGATATACCTCAGCTTGTAAAGCAAAGGGCGTGAAACAGGCGGGAAAGCATTCACGCCTTCTATCAACAGGCAGTGGAATGGTCGACACCCATTTGCAGAGAGAATCCACTTCAGTCTGTGGCTGCATATGTTTGCCTACCGGGTAGTTTACACTAATCTGCTATTATTAAGTTTAAAAAAACTAGCATTTTAACTTGTCTTAATAATTTTTCAATTTTGATATATTTAAATAATTGACATCAGGTAAGGCCCAATAGAAGCAACACAATGTAGCTAGCTACACCTAAGCCCAAGAACCGCAACAGACCAGACCACATCGCGATACGCCAGACACCAGCACACTAATATGCTATCAATTGATGGTATATTGCGTGACGGCCGGGCACCTGATCTGGTTGAGTCTGGTCTGGTACTATTTGCCTCCTATTGTATCCTAATGGCATCCGTCACACGCATGCGCATCATTGTTGGCCATTAAAGAACTCATCAGTCCAATACCAGAATTCAAGTAAATATCGTACTGTATGCTGTTTAGGGAGTCTGGTTCATATCGATTTTTGGCTTGGTGTGGGATGCTCCAAATACTCAGGTAGTTGGCCTTGGCCATGCATGGGCAAGTGCATCCCTACCCTTCTCCAGCCCCTAATACCTGGACCGCCGTGACATGCAAAACGGCCGAGTCGTCTTGAATACATGGAGTACTGCGACGGGGAAATTCTTGAGCGGGCTGCTGGACTGTGGGATCGAAAGCCCCCGAAGGGCTCGCCCCTGCATCCGTTTGGTGTCGGTGCCGAGGGCATTCTTGAGCAGTAGACGCCGCTGCAAAATTGCTCTAGTAGACACGGAGTGGGCAGAAGTCCACGGTGAGTAATACTATATATGTACCTGGCAGGGTTGCTCTCACGCACTCAGCGGCAGAAGCTATCGCGAGACGGCCCTCACCGGCGCGCCGCGAGTCTGGTAACTCTCCACGCACTCGTCTGCAAGAGCCAGCCATCCCATGCACGCAGTGTACACCGGAAGCGAGTTTGCAATGCTCTCAGCCCCTGAAAATCGTGCGTCGACAGCGTCTTGTATGAATATTCGCAGTCTAGCTACGCCAGAGCTCCTCTCCGTCATGGCCAGGGGGAGGTGTACAGCAGGCAGGACAGTCCCCATGGCCAGCATGGCCGTCTCGTAGTTTGCCATGTACAGGTAGAGCAAGAAGTCATTCGACAGGAACCGGTCTGGCGAACGGGGAACAAAGCGCAGCCAGTTGCGGATGGGGAACATGGTCGACAGCTGGTCCTCGAGCGACAGATGCTGCCAAGTTCGGTGGCGTACATTTTGAAGAAAGATGAGGAGCTCTCTCGCCGCAGACTCGAGCTCGCTATCCAGCTTGCACTTGCAAAGGCTGCGGATAGACGCGGCCGCTGATTCCAGGAGTCTTTGCCCTTGCCGCATCGGCTGCGGTGGGCTGTCTAGGGAGCCTTCGTCCCGTGGCTCGTTCACGGCGGAATGCAGACCTTGTACGGCGGCAAGGGACGCCTGGTTGTCTGCCGTGTACATGTATGGATGGAGAAACTGCGTGTGCCATGTGTCAGCCCAAGCTCAGTCTAGGCTCTTATCATGGTTCGCTTCTAGGGCCGTCCAACTTACGGCAAGCGTGCCTTTGAGATAACTACTGTACTCGGTTCTGCAGCAACGCAAGTCAGCGCGGTGCATTTCTTGGTTCGTGTCTTGTGCTTCTTACGGGTTTGGGCTGTACCACGCCATCAGGATCGACGACGCGATGAGCCCTTGTGACATTTCTTGTTGGCGCTCGCGGCTCTGAGAGCGTATGCTTTGCATTTCTCGGACCATTCCCTGGATTGCAAGACCTCTAAAGCGGCTTTCTAACAAGGACATGCGAGATAGATTTGTGATGGTTCTTAAATGGCCCGCTCCGATGCTGCACAAGCAGTGCCTGAGATGTTCAAAGCTGCCAGCCATCGCAAGGAAGCTGTTGGGCGTTTGCTTGCCGTCAGCAGCCAGGGGCAAGACATCAACAACGAATGAATGACGTATTCGCCTACCTTGAGAACTGGTTAGCGCCCACCAAGAACCCCTGTTCTACGGCCGGCATGATGCCTTTACGAATGACACATAGTTGATATAGCAAGGCCTCTGCCTCTGGCGGCGTCGGGTTCGGCCAGCCAAATTGAGATATCATGGACAGATAGTTCAGAGGCGAGGGTGTTCTGACTACGATCGAGGAGGCCGCAAGGGCTTCCTGGGGTGTACCATAGCTACAGCTGACGGGCTGGCCTCGTGTGAGAAGTCGTTGGCACTGAGTACTGGCAACCTGGTGAGCTGGGCTACTATGCCGGGGCCGGAGTGTCGAACCAACGTGGCTTGAGCTCGTCGCATTTCACCCGTCTCCTCCGACACGTGCTACAACCACTGCGCACCTTGCGGTGAGTCCGTTTCATCATTCGGGTTGAATGGGGACATTAAGGCCGAAGGTTGAAGATGGATGACGCAGGAGGTTGTGATCGTCACACATTGCAGACCCGTTTATCCCGGCGTCACATGACTAGACGTGTGTATAAACCCACGGAACATGTTCTCTACAAACTTTGTTTTCTTGAGCCTAGCTATTGGGAATAAACACGCAGATCAATCGCTTTCAGGAATCGTGGCGCGCTATTTCCTCTCACTGCTTGCTACGAGCCGAGACTGGCTTGCTCCATTAGTCGTGCGAAGCTCTCACAACATCCGAAAGGCTTTAAAGGAGCAACGGTATCCGAAACCAACTTTCAGCTCATCCAACGTACTCGCGCCCCTACGTCTCCCTACTGAAAGTTCACGGGGCTGACGAGATTGAATAGAATGGAACGTGTTCCAAGGAATGAGAAGTTGCTGAAACCAGCTCCATGCTGTCCATTGCTCTGCCCTGCCCTGCCCCGGCCAAGCTCATCTCACATTTCCCGAGCAACAGGCCAACTCAGCAACTAAAAGTACGCAAGCGCCAGGCCGGAAAGAGCTCCGACGCCGTCGTAGATCCGGGTCTTGTGTCCACCGTCCGCGTCGAGCCTGTACATGCTGCCGCCGAGGTCGGTCGCGTACACGTGCCCCTTTTTCAAGTCCAGCTTGACCGCGATGGCCTCGTGCAAATCGCGAGAAAGGAGCGTGTAGTCCCTGCCCGGCACGCTCGTGGCATTGCCCTGGACAGGCCTGGCCGCGTCGAGCCTTGCCGAGTTGATGCTATTCCCCGTGGGAAGCTCGCCCCTGTCGCTCCAGTAGAGCACGTTGGCGGCCTCGTCAATGTCCAGGTCGATGGGCTCCGGCAAGTTTTGGAACATGACCTCGATGTCCGTCCGGTTGCCGGCTCCTTCTCCCGGCAGGAAATCGATATTGGCCCGGAATATCCGCCCCTTGTTCCCCTTTGAAGGGCCCTTTTGAGTCCAGTAGAATTTACCCGTTGATGGCGACACGGCCACGCCAACACACCACCTCATCTGGTCGGCCTTTTCTTCGTCGTTCCGCCAGTCTCCGTTCTGGATGAGCGTTTCCAGGCCGAAGCCATCAAAGTTGCACCGCCAAATCTTGAGACCCTCCCGATCTCCGAAATAGATTTTGGAGTTCTTGTGGTCGATGGTGAGCTGCTTCGGGGTGTGGACCGAGCCGCGCGGAACAATCTCCTTGACATGACTCCCGTCGAGGTTGGAGCTGAAAACTGCGCCGTCTGGTTGAGACGGATTCCCCATGCTGGTCCAGAAGAGCTTCTTGGCCGAGGTTGAGATGTCAATACCGTCAGGCATGTGCTGGTTTGACACCAGAGTCCGAAAGGGCCTCCCGTCCGGCGAGCCAACCATGATGCGGCCTGCGTTCGGGGCATCAAGAGGGTTGGAAGCAGAGAGGCCAATATCGAGGACATAGAGGGTAGGATCGAGGATGTTGCCGCTGTCGCCGAAGTGGTGTGCTGGCCCAGTCGCCTGCTGGGGAGGAAGAAGCCCGCCCTTGGCAGACTTGGCTCCCAGTCGTCCCTCGTCGAGGAACTTTTGCAGGAACTTGAGAGGCTGGTCGGACAACTTACGTTCCGCAACATAATGCTGCTCGATAAAGGCGACAGTGTCCAAGCCGATCTGGTCCATCATGGCCACCGGCCCGGTCTGACTTCCAGACCACATCTCGAGCCAGAGGCCATCCAGCTCTTGCGGTGTTGCCACACCCTCGGCGAGGATACTCAGGGCCTCGCGCTTGATAGCAGCCCACATGCGGTTGAAAATGAGACCAGTGGACTCCTTGTGCGCCACGTAAGGATGCATACCGGTTTCTTTAAGCTTGTCCACTAGGAAGGGGAAGATGGTCTCGTCAGTCTCGCCGTCCGTCATCAACTCGACGATGCGGTTTCCCGGCGGCATATAGTAGTGCATGTTCAGAACGCGCCGCCTCGTCTCTCTTTGGAGATGCCCAACCATTTCTCGAGACTTGTACGAGGACGAGTTGGAGGCAAGGAGGGCGTCTTGCGTCGTGAGCTTTTCTAGGTCGGCAAAGGTGGATATTTTCAGGTCCAGTTTCTCGGGGACCGCTTCGACAACCAGCCATGCCTTCTCGACAGCCTTTTCCAGGTCGTCCAGGGCCTGCACGGTGCCGCGCTTGGCCGAATCTGAGTAGTCCGACATGCTGGTGTTGCAGTACTGCACCGCTGCGGCCCTCTGCTCCGGGCTGGGATCGCGGATGACGACGTCGTAGCCGCTGGCCGCCCAGCTACAGGCTATTCGTCGACCCAAAACGCCGCCACCGAGTACGGCGACGACGCGGCCGACGGTTGAAGGTAGTTGGAAGCCCATGGCTTGTGTTGGATCACGAATGGAAGCGCGAGGAGTGAGTTGGGTCGGAATTGAAGAGATCTGGGTACCAGATCCCGTATAGAAAGAGGCTACGGTGATGGTACGGTCCGCAGAGGGACATGGTTGAAACTTATATAATCGGCAACGGGCAGCAAGTCTAGGGAGTTGCGTTGTGGCGTTGTCATTGCATCAATCATGGAGCCGTTGATAGGTACGACTCGTCCGTGTAAAGCTAAATCGAAGTCTTCCCATCTCCCTGATAAGGGATTATACGGCCGGCGCTATATTAGTGCAGATGGGATCTCTGCTTCGGAAGCACGGGGCGGCGACGCTTCGTCATCCGTGGGCTGGCTGATGGGCCACGGGCAGCGGCAATTGCCCCCGGTTGCTGGCGAATGGACCAAACGAACAACATTGAACATTGAAGGCCCTGCATGTACGTATTGACGTATGTAGTTTTGGGCGGTTCGCCCGGCTCGGCCAGCTCGGCCAGCACCGAAACTCAATGCGGTATCTGAAGGTGTGGAAAGGCAAGTGCCGAAACTGCCTGGTAGATCAATGCCTCGCAACGACTACGACTTCGTTCACGTACGGCCTAGCCACTCTGGGAATCAACGAATCGTATCCACAGATTCGAGCAGCATGTAAGCCCCGCCCTATCTGGCTACTCTCGGAATCATGTACTATTGTCCGCGGAATAAAATGACGTGTAAACGTCGATCTATCTACCACACGTGTAATGCAACGCAACGACTTTGTTCCACCCAGACCAGGCTGTAACTGGCAACTGGTGACAGGAGTCTAGCTAGGTTGCCGCTTCGCGCTAGCTCGGCTCAAATGGATGCACGATCTGATGGATCCTCTTGGCTTCGTTTATGCTCGGCCTAACCTGAAAAAGCAAACAAACAAAATCCAAGAGTTGGTACCCCCTACCATAATGTGAATATGCGTGCCAAACGTCAAGTGGCATTGCCTCGGCAGTTTGCCATCCCAGAATAGGCACTACGTACGTGGCGAGCCCGATAATTCACGCAAAAGTGTTGCACTGATGCAATATCGACAAGTACCGAGCCGAGCTAGCCGGATGAGCCGATTGGCCCAACGGGCAAAGATAAAAAGATTGTTACCTGGTAATGCTTCAGACATCCGTGTCGGTTTAGTGAATCGCGATGCTAGAAAACTAGCTTCTCATCCAACTATAAAGGTGCACTGTCACGAACGGCTCTCCAAGACGCTGTTCCATTCGCATTGGGCCTTGCAGCAAGCATCATCTCCGTCACCCATCTTACTCGTGCCGTTCCATCCGAATTTGCCCTTATCTGTATCACAATCCCTCAACACCATGTCCATCCGGACAGTGGGCGTGGTTGGCACCGGGGTAATCGGCTCCTCTTGGATAGGCCTGTTTCTAGCCCGCGGCCTCCAAGTCATTGTTTCCGATCCTGCATCAGGCGCGGAGCAAAAGCTCGCAGCCTACCTCCAAGCCATCTGGCCGACCATGCAAAAGTCGGGCCTGGCACCGAATGCCGCATTGACCAATTACCGCTTCGTGGGTGCACAATTCAAGCATCATTTTGCCAATGTCGACTTTGTCCAAGAGGTACCTGCTTCCACGTCTCGATCAGTCACCCATTCTAATATATGCGCACACTTGCGAAACAGAATGCGCCCGAACGCATCGAGTTGAAAACCGATATCCTTGGCGAGATAGACGCCGCGACTCGCCCAGACGTTGTCATTGCGTCGTCTTCGTCCGGCATACCTAGTTCCCGGTTTATATCGAAATGTGCCGTCAACGCAGGGCGCGTGCTCATAGGACATCCCTTCAATCCTCCTCATTTAATGCCGCTCGTCGAGGTAGTCCCCCACGCTGAGACGGCGGCAGCGAGCACGGAAACAGCCATGAACTTCTACAAGTCGCTGGGTCGAAAGCCCGTGCTTATTCGCCAGGAGATACCTGGCTTCGCGGCCAACCGTCTCCAGGCAGCGGTCTGCAATGAAGCATATAGCCTTGTGAGCCGCGGTGTTTTATCAGCACAGGATCTAGGCGAGTCGACTTGTGGTTTGACAACTTACCTGTGTACATGTTTGCTAACTCGTGAACCAGATACGTGTGTTACCAGTAGCCTTGGGCCGCGTTGGGCTGTTACCGGCCCGTTGCTGTCAAACGCCATGGGGGGCGGAGGCGGCACCGACGGCTTCAAGCATTTCCTGGAGCATTTGGGGCCTGCCACCAGGAGTTGGATGGACGATATGCAGGCTCATGCGTTTCAGTGGACTCCCGAGGGTCTCGCGACGCTGCGGGAGAGTGTTGCTAAAGAATTGCAGGGCAAGGATACCAAGGAGCTGGAACGAAAAAGGGACCAGTGTCTTGTGGAAGTCCTCCGGGTCAAGGGTGACATGTAGACTTGGACTAGATGCTTTTTTTCATATTTTACACTAAGAGCTTTCTATTATCTGATTGGCCTTTAGCCCTAGCGCCAAGAGACCTTTTTATGCATGTGTATAATAGGGATAGATACTCTAGAAATAGCAAGCAAGTAAGTTGATTTATTTAATATAAAACGTGCCAAAAGTCAATTATATACGAATTCGCTTAAAGCTTATTACTTTATATAATAACAAACCTTTCACATTAATATTATTCCAGGTCAAGTAGTAAATATCACGAAGCAAATGTGTAGATAAACAAGATACGATAGTACAAAGATATACACATGGTAATCTTTTACTGAAACATCTAAATCTAGCATTTCGCAGCTGTGTACATGAACAATCCTCCTAGTTAACCATCTTTCGCAGCGCAATTCCAAAGTTTTTCTTTTTCTTCTTTTTTATAACTGCTAAACCGGACCCAGTATCTACCGCAATTGTATCCCATGAAGGCTCATCAGGACTGGGAAAGTTAGCGATTGCATCAAATACCACAGAAAAAGGACGACACATACCCGAACAACCAAGCAATCCTGAGAAACACGCCCACACGCGCCCTCCTTAGCACGCATCATCGGGGACTGGAGTGGAGGTAGGCTTAGGCTTGAGACGCTGGTCGTCGGGAAAGACGAAATCGTCAGAATATATCGGCCCGTCAGCCTGTCTGGGCTGAGCCTTATCGGCAAGGGCACCGGATTCCGGCGCCCGAGGAGCGGCGGCAACCAGCCCGATGCAAAGGGTAACGAGGGTGATAGAAAACTTCATATTGGCTGAGACTTGATTGGATTGATGTTGTTGATATCCGAGAAGCAAATAGACGTCGTCGACGGCGGTATATATATGCGACTTGCGATGCAAGGCATACACGGACACTACGGACTTGACGAGTAATGAGCTCGGGGGCGTTGTTTGCGATAACATAAGCCGTTGTCCACTCTTGGCTACGATGGTAATTCATGCCTTCATGCCGCGTGTGGGTAATGCGCTTCTCCGAGTCAATGGCATTGGCATGAGATGGGAGCTGATACAGGCTGACTCGCGCCCAGACGTAGCCGGAGTCCTTTCATCTGCCCCTGGGTTTCAGCACCGGCATAAAGGTCCGTTTTGTCCAAGGCGTCTTGTCGAACGACAATTTGTGGCGGATGGATCCGTTATGCCCGGCCACGATTCGGGCCGCTAATCTAATTTAATTCAATTTGATGTAATATAAACAGGATAAACGCCGTGGTCGCGAGAATAGGAGAGTGCTGAACGTCTTGGATAAAAAGCGCAGGCGGAAGTGGTGCTTGGTCAAAAACCAACCACTGTCAGCGAAACCGTCCGTCTGAAGCGCCTCGACAGTTTTCGCAGCGTACATGTGCAGGGAACTAATGAATGTAGCCTCGTCCAAAGAATCAAGTTGACGGGACTAGACCAGACACTTGCCCGAAATAGACGGACTCTTGCGCAGGGGCAACATTGAACCCGAGTGTCGAATCATGAATGACTTGGCATCGACTCATTCGGCCTCCTCCCCACAGCCTCACTCAGCCCCTTCACGTAATCCAAATCCCACCGGCTTCGATTCAAGGACCTGTGTACGGGTTCCACTGGCTGCAGAATAATGCCGAACAGTTCGTCTATGCTAGGGCTCGCGTTCAGCTGTATCACCGCCAGACTCTACATTGAGACATGGACCTTTGCTACTCCACAGCTGACTCGCAACAGCATCATGACGCGTGTTGAACTGCTCCATCATTTCATCGCCTCTGAGGCGACATGTCCTGTTGGGATGCCTGCCGGATTGGCAATCTACTACTCTTGTTTTGTCGGGTTCATTGCGTAGGTAATAAATGGGATTGTCTGCTTGGAGGCGGCCCAACTGGCCTCATTTGCATCATTTCAGATAGACAGCAAGCCATTCTTCATGAATGGTTTTATCGGCAAACGGCTTGCAGCTTGCAGTGACAACAGCTCATCTCATTCAGAGAGCGAATAAAACTCTCACTAATACGGCCGAGTTGAAACCAAGTCAGCGATACAACGGCCGACGAATAAATGTGTCAAAGACTCCAAGCTTTAATCCCTTCGGTGGGCAACGTCTAGTATCATCTATAATACGATAGCCAGTGAAGACTCGGCCTCGTGCGTGGAAGAATTGTTGTGCAAAGCAACAACATGCGGCTGCCACAATGATAGACGAATGACGAGACAAATCCTGCAACACATCAGGATCCCGTCCATATTTTCAGCACTAGAGCCAACAACAGCGCCACCATGTGTCGAAATAATTGAAATTCCGAGGTATAAATATCCCAAACTGATCTTGAACAAAACACGACTAACCAGCTTACTTTCGGCAGGCCCTTGACGCTTGGTGTCATTATGACAGGAAGCAATGTTGGTCGGCCCTCACAGGACCAAAGCAGTCTGCCCACAAGCACCAGACGGCAATGGGGGAAGGAGCTCTAGGTGCCCGATCAAGCCAACAGTATTTTATGTGTTTTTTTCGCCCTCTCATATCCAGAGAACATGCTCTCGCCTGGAAACTGTCCGAGCCGTCTCTTTTTGCAGCAATTCTTGTTGCGCCTGGGAACTATGGTGCCGGCAAAATTCACAAGTCAGTGAACATCAACTGGCAATTCGATGCCAACCGGGAGACCCAACCGGGAGGCAGACTGGTTGTGAAGGCCTCTGGTCTCCTTTCTGGGAAAGGCCGCTGGGTGAGTAAGACAAAGAAGGAGGCAACCACGATTTTATCCGCATCTTCCAAGAGCGGGAGTTTGGCCCCCTTCCCATGATTATCGAACTCAAGTCCAATGTGCATTTGTGGCTCTTTCGCGCCCCTCCTCTCCCGTTCCACGTTTGACAGGACAAACGTCACAAACGTCACCTTGTATCCACGGAGCTCCCTTCACAGGCAGCTACAAAGGTAAAAACAACAGATTAACACTTGATCAAGTTGAACGCTTGATAGGTCAGTGGCTGCGACATACCGTGAAGCAATGTCCGTTCTGTACGTTTTATCCTTGAACTGCACAGCTTGTACGCCTCTATAAGCGAGAGAGACTGCTTCTTCTAGAGTTGACCCATACGACGCCGCACAGAGGACTCTGCCACCAGCCGTTAAAAGTTGCCCATCTGTCGATTTCTCCGTTCCAGCGTGGAAAATCTCCACACCTAGATGCAATTAGTATGTATCAAATCTACGGGACCAGTACCGACAGACCTGATGCACAGCCCTCGACCGTGATGACATCACCTTTGCGGTAGGACTCGGGGTAGCCCCCGGCTGCAACAACCACATTGCAAGCGAATCCGGGACGTACGGGGATAGCTACATCTTGAAGCTTGTTTGTGCAACAGGCAATGAGGATCGTGGCAAGGTCACATTCTGGAGCAAGCAGCATCATCATTGTCTGCGTCTCGGGGTCTCCAAACCTAGCATTGTATTCCAAAACCTTGGGTCCATCTCTTGTCATCATTATGCCAGTGAAGAGCATGCCAGAAAAAGGTCGGCCTAGGACAGAAAATTAGAAACAAGAGATGACGGATGAATTTACAGCATACCTTCGGCTTGGAGAGCCTCAAGCGTAGGCCTGATGATTTCCCGGTCGATTGTCTCGAGATCTTGGGCGGTTAAGAAACTCAGAGGCGCATAAACTCCCATGCCCCCAGTGTTAGGACCCTTATTTCCATCAAATATACGCTTATGGTCCTGCCCTGGTGGAAGGGATTTGAAAGCTCCGCTGCCATCCACAAAAGTGAGGACACTGATTTCGTCGCCATCTAGAAATTCTTCTATGACAACGGATTGCCCCGAGGAGCCAAATTTAGACTCAACCATCATCAGACGCAATGCGTCAAGTGCTTCCGCCTCATTGGCAGGCAGCACCACACCCTTTCCGGCAGCCAGACCATCGACCTTCAATACAACACGAGAGCAGTCAATAGATTGCAAATAGGCTCTTGCATCTTCATATTGACGAAAGGTTTTATACTTTGCGGTTGGAATATCGTATTGTTCCATCAAGGCCTTGGAGTATGCTTTGGACCCTTCTATTTCTGCTGCCGCCTTGGAGGGAGAAAAGCAAGGGATACCAGCTGAATGGACTTGGATTAGCTAGACTGTTGTATACCCGTCATGCCACACAGAAGAGACGAGGTAAAGTGCGTACTGTCTTCAAAATATCCAGCTATGCCGTTAACAACAGCATCGTCGGGTCCAGCTACAACGAGGCCAATGTGCTGGTCTCTGGCAAAACAAACGAGTCCCGGGAAATCATCTTGACTGATATGAGAAACATTCGAGACATTGGGAAGATCTTGAGTGCCGCCGTTCCCAGGGACAACGTAGATGTGTTGCACAGATGGGCTTTGAGACAGTTTCCAAGCCAAGCTATGCTCGCGAGCTCCTTTGCCAACGAGAAGGATTTTGAGGTTTGAGGTTGCCATGGCGGAAATGAGTGCGTGTGACTCGAGGGGAGAAAAGTCCATACTGAAACCGCACGAGTTGACGACCAACAGCACAGGGCTACTAGTCACGTGGCGGCTACAGCAAAATGTCTGGTGGCACACTAATAACATGATTTTTTTCTGCTAAACTAAAGTCGACCCTAGAGGCCCTATTGAAAAACAAGGAACAAAATTGAGCGACACCATCGCAGCCTACTCCAACTACCGGGCCTGAAAGAGAGAGGGAGAGCGGTGAGCTTTGGTTTCTTAATCCAAATTGACCTCATGCTTTATAATCATATGGTACTAGCACTCTGTACTAGTGTGCAGAACAAAGAGTTTGTTGGATCATACGGACAACTGTAGACTACCATCGACGCTACCCTATTGATTTGATTAAGAGCGCGGCAATTGATTTTCTGTTAGCCAGAAGTGCGTTTTTCAGTTTCTGCCTTGTGTGTAAAAAGCCAAGGAGCTGGTTAAACTAGGGTCACAACGATGATTCCCAATCTAGCGTGACTGAAATTGACCTGATATTCCAACTTGGTACACCATGATTCCAATACTTGACTTGTGTGGTCTAAACTGGCACTGGCTTATAGTGCTGACTGATTCCATCTATGACAAACAAGCACATGCATGTGCCTTGGCGCTTGAAAAAGTGGAGTCTAGGTCTTCTTTCTAGGAACGCTTGCATTACATTAAGAAAAGCCCGCGGCTTATACAGCGTTTGGGGGGCTTTAATTGTTAAATTAGTCTTTATACAAGTTTTATATGAGTACATACCAGTAAAATGCTAGTTTTATATTATAACATTGAATATGTAATCGTATTGATCAAACTGGCATTTGCAACTCCGGCGCACAGATCATCAAACGTTGGCGTCAGCCGCGGCGGCTCATGTCGCTGGTGGCGGGGCAGAGAGCGACCATGGAGGGTCCCAACAATGCGAACAGCGCGTCAGCTCAAGATTCCTTGCGGGGCTGAAAATAGCAGCGTTTTGGCTCGGAGTCGAAATCAAGGTCGCCAAGCAGTCCCAGCCGGTCTCTGCACTCGGTCCCTGAAGCCATCGCAACTCTGTTCCTCTATCGCCTTTCCAGTCCATCGCGCCTAGCCTGCGATCGCCTGGTCCATCTCGAAACCTACCATCATCTGCCCTTGTCGAAATCCCACATTCACCTTCCGCAACAGTAGCTTACGACGTCATGTCATCGCCTTCTCTGCCGCGGGGCACGTGGCTCCTAGTGCTCGCCGTCTGCTTGGTCTTGCTTCCTGGCAGGGCTGCCGCCTTTGGGGCTGGAAACATCCCATCCATTGCCCAGGTATGAACAAAGCCGTGATCCCATTTCGAGCTCTCATGCGCACGGCTAACACATTGCCGCCAGGTCGAAGGACACAACTGGCGCCATGGAGGTATGTTGATTTCCACATGGGGCTACCCCGCCAAATATTGACAGCCATTGTATTGCAGATATCGAGGATATGCTCGCCAGTGTCGCCTTCTTGCACGGCAAGAAATGGACCTCCATGCTGATCAAGCGAACCTACTTTGGAAACTGGCTCCGCGATTACTCCCAGGCCGTCGATGTCGGCAGTCTCAAGGGCGTCAACGCCGCCACGATTCGAATCCTCGTGAGTCCCCGCGCCTCGTCGCACACGCCTACACAGCTAACAAGGATTGTCGACAAATCCAGGTCTGGGTTCTCTCATTCATGGCTTTCGGTTATGCCACCGAGGAGTTCGAAGTCACCGAGGAACGTCTCGGCTGCTATCGCCCAGAGGAGCACATCGACAACCCCCTTGGGTACGCAGATGGCGTCGATGCCCGCACCTTCGACCCCCGTCTCCGCGGTCCCGTCCAGCCCGTCGAAACAGAGATCGATATGAAGACGGGAATGAAGAACTACATTGCCAACGAGACGGGACAATGGGCCACCAGTACCGGATACATTCGCTTCAGCTTTGCTCGCAGTATCCACTTTGGCCGCCTCTACAGCTGTGGTGAACGTGGCAAGGGCAAGGACGAGAATCTCTGCGAGGCCCTCCGCTGCCTTGGCCAAGCGCTCCATTGCCTAGAGGACTTTGGGGCGCACAGCAACTATTGTGAGCTGGCTCTCCGAGAGCTTGGGTACCACAATGTGTTCCCTCACTGCGGAACCCAAACCGAGATAAACATCCAGGGCAAGAGGATCTATCCCATAGTAACTGGTACCTTTGGTGCCGTTGACTTCTTGCACTCCGTTATTGGCGAAGCCAATGATCATTTTACCCAATCCGAGGTCGATGAAGTTGATGTGGCCCTGAAAAATGCCGAAGGTGCCAGAAGCGGGCCCGTGGCTACAGGCGACAGGGGATTGTTCGATGGCTCTGGTCCAAGCGACTTCATCTCCCTGCTCTCCAAGCTCCCTGATGTTGGAACTGGATTTGCTTCCGAGGCAAAGGACCTCAAGGAAGCTTCCGAAGCCCAGGAGCGAGAAAACCGGCAGAACCAGCAGCGAACTCGTGCCAACAATGCCAACGTCGTACCGGGGATGAGCCCCGACTTTGACCCCGTAAAGACCGCCAAACGCATCTACCCCATCCTGGTGTTCCGCGACAAGATCGTCAAGGCAATCAGCCGTGGTATTGCCAAGGTTCCAGGTCTGGAGAAGCTCCTGGAACACATCAGCGAGACCCTGACTGCCTTTGTATTGGGCCTTCTCGCCCCCTTCATCCGACCCATCATAAACTCTGTCACCAAAGTTTTGAAGGATGGCTCATCCGGCGTCATCACCGCCAGCTCAAAGTCCCAGCTGGAGCCGTGGGAGAACAACAGATGCTCTGATCCTACCCACTCTATGCTGTCCAAGGACCACTTCACCAACGTCCTGAACTCTTGTGCCGGCCGAGTCGCCGCGACAATTCTTCAATACGCGGTTCCGTAAGTTCCATGCCCTAGGCAATCCCGTCTTGCCCTTCGTTCAATATCCGCTCACACATCCTCAGTCGCGTCATCTTTGCCTGGGAAAACCCCAATGTCCCCGTAGACGAGGTCGTCAACGACGTCATCCGGGCCTTCCACCACCCAGCCCTGCGCAGCGAAAATATCGAAATTCAGCGTGACATGTTCCAGACAGTACGAATGTGGGCCGACCAGCACCCGCGTCGCCACGAACTCGAACGCATCCTCTCCTCGGAATCCGTCAAGACGGGCAAGAACCACATCCTCAACGGCACCAAATCGGGCAGCAGCGGTGGCGGCCACTCCCACGGCGCCTTCGACGCCCTCAGCCAGCTCGGCCACGGCAAAGTCGCCGGCTCACTATGGTCCCAGGTTCGCACCCGCGATTTGGACTCCATGTCTGGGAATGACGGAGAGCAGGCCTCCAACTACGTATCCAACTCTCCTGCTCCGGAGACAAGCAAGATGCCCACTCCGCCGTCTTATACCTCGACGAGCGGGGGAGGAGAGGCGGCTTCGTACATGAACGAACCCAACACCTTCCAGGCAGGCTACAATGCCCCCCCACCCCCGGGGCAGTATTACCAGGGCTACGGCCAGCAACCTCCTCCCGGTGGTCCTCAGGGATATCCGGGAACCCAACAGTACGGTGCGCCGCCTCCAGGACAATGGCAGCAGCCGCCCCAGGGGTACGGCGGTCCACCCCCGCAGGGATATCCCCCCTACGGACAAGGTCAGCCGCCTTCTTGGAACCAGTATCCCGGCCAGGGACGCTATTAGATACAAAGCTCAAGTATGTTTGGATGATTTCACGGAATTCAGGTTTTAGTAGGGGTTGTTGGGAAAATAGGCTCCGAATATGAGGTATGTCGATATGAATTACATGGACGTGTATGTAGAGACGAGAAAAGAGCCGTCGTCGATATTTTCAATAAAAATTGTCTTGAAATCATGTACTCGGAATCGTAAGCCATCCACAAGCAGTCCATTTATATGTATATCGTCAGTACATCGCCTATGCAGCCAAGTATCTAGTGGTCGCTACATGCAAACTCCACCCAATGCCCATCCATCACCACACCCAAGGCATGCCGCTCATGACGAAAAATCGATTGCACAAAGGCTGAATGAACAAACCTCATCTCTTGCCCCTCCTGGGGTCCTGCGCCTCCGCTTTCCTAATGTCCCTAATCTCCTTGGTGCCCATGCTGCCCAGCCCGCCCTCGGACCGTCTCTCCCACCCGCCCAGCCGGACAACCTGGCAGGTGGCGTTGTCGCCGTCCCTGGACACCTCGGTCGCGTACTCGACGACGTTGCGCGCGCCCTGCTCGGGCGTCTTGGCCTCCTTGACGACGTCTACGATCTCCTGATCGCTCAGGGTGCCCGAGACGCCGTCGCTCATGAGGACGAGGAAGGAGAACTCGGCGGGGCCCATCTCCACGCGCGTGATCTCGGGCTCGGCCGACACCCCGATGCGCTTGGACTTGATGTCGCCAAAGGCGCGCGAGTTGGCGAGCCCCGCGATGCGCTCCTCGCCAAAGGAGTCGCCCGTGACCATGGAGCCGGCGGGCGCGTAGCGGCGGAGGCGCCGGCTCTCCGTGGGCGTCGTGGGGTGGTGGTCCGACGTCAGGGGGTGCGGGAGGCCGGTGGCCGTCTCGCACAGCAGGATGCGCGAGTCGCCCACGTGCGCGGCCACGAGGGTCGAGTGCGCGGCCGGGTGCCAGAACGGCGCCGTCGTGGGCGTCGATATGAGTGCCACCGAGGCCGTCGAGCCGCCCTTGAAGCGCGTGGTCCCGCCGATGCCGTGGCCCGACGGCGTCGCGTGGGGGGCGCCCAGGATCTCGTCGTCGTTGAGGGGCTGGTCCGAGTCGTCCGGGTCGGCTTTGCGAGCTTGCGCCGACACAAAATCCAGGTCGGCGCGGAGGAAGGCGTACGCCAGGCTGGACTCGACCGTGATGGAGGCCTGCTTGCCAGCTTCGGGGGACGTGTCGAAATGCTCCGGGTTGAAGCGGCGAAAGTAGCCGCCTATGGTGGTTCCGTAGGCCTTGACGAGGTCGCGCTCGAGTCTGATGGCCTTGTCCATGTTCTGCGACTCGGCCGGTGGTGATTTGGCGCTCGGGAGGGCCTGTCCGTGGTTCGGCGGGTCGCCGACGAATCTGCGGTTCTCCGCGTCGGGCACGTCCATTTTCGTTTCGACGTCCTTGGCGGATTTCATGTCAATCGAGTCAAGGGCTCGTTGTTTTGACGTCGGCTTTTCGCCGATTGCGGGCTTTTGCTGGTCTCTCCCGGGCTTGCTCTTTCGCAGGCTGCTTTGCAGGCCGAACTCAATGGCTGCCTCCTCAATGTATCCGTGTAGCTCGTCTCGTAGGAAGTGAGAACATTGTGTGCCTCCGTGGCCGTCAAAGACGCCAAAGTAGAATATTTGAGGATCGCCCAACACGCTGTCGGCCGGAGTGGCTTCGCCTGGTTTTTGCCTCACGCTCATGGGACCCCTCTTCGCGAAGGCAGGTATGTCCACCGTGCCGGCCTGGTCCGTATCCTCGTTATACGGCCTGCTCCCCCTGGCCGTCGCGGAGCCGAAATGATGCTTCGCCCTCCGCAGCGGTATGCGGACCACAGTCAGGTCTCGACTCTGCATGTTGGGAATGGACACGGCGGCGGGAGACAGACCGGGACTCGGCGTATGGGGGGTCGACGCATCGCGGGGCAGTTTGTGGCCGGGGCCAATGGTGCGGTGCGAGTCCGGATGAAGCGACGACGAGGGAAGATGCGTGACGAAATACGTGTGGAAGTACTGTCGCAGTTGCTGGTCTGGGTATCGCGGCAAAGGCACGTAGTTGTGGCGGCTCGTCACAAGCGGAGAGGTGCTTCGACGTTCGGCGCGAGCCTGCCGGGACGCGCTGCCGCCACGAGCCCCCGAAGTCGACGACAAGGACCTTCGTGCCGCTGTCCCCGCGGGTTTTAATCGTGGATGTGTAGCGCCTTCTGCGGATGTGGTCCTAAACGCCGAACCGGCGCCAAGAAGGGTTGCTGATGCTGTCGGCATGGCGACCCCCTCAGCCGCCATGTGAGCTGCGGCTCTGGACGCAGAGCTCCGCGCGGCATGTCGTATGGATGCCATTGAAGGGTAGAAGCGATGCTGTAGAGTAGAACCCGGCGAGGTCACGCATCAGCTCCCCCTGGGTAACCGAACACAAGCCAGCCCGCTGCGAACTACAGCCATGGACCTGCGATGCAGAGCGGAGGGGGCGGTGGTGGTTTGGCGGGATGCTGCTCTGCGGACCGAAAGCTTCCAACCGATCAAACAAGGAGTCTACCAGGACTTTGTGTCGGCGTGAAGGAGGTGCAAAGGCGGCGTTGCGGGATAAGAAGGGCTAGACAAGAGGAGCAACGAAGCTTGGGCTGGATCGACATTGAGTGTGGTTGATTGTTTGTTGGGTGTTCAGCATTCAGCATTCAGTCTGCCCCCTGCCCAACATGGTAAAGCGCCAACTGGCCTGGCCTGGCCTGGCCTGTCTTGTTCCTGGACTTCTTGGACGCAGCTGGACATCGTTGCGGCCCCCACCGATTAGATTCAACGACCGGACATTCGACTACTGCTGATGAGTGAAAAAAAACAGCAATTTTTGTGTTCATGGCGGGACTTTGAACCTCTCGCCACGGAGAATTTGGCCGGAGGAACGTTGGAGATGATGGTTTGGCTCGACTCAGGACCCACCTCCCGTTTCTCATGCCCTGAGGCCAGAGTCCAGTGTCCTCACACCTCGAATGAGACATGAGCACGCGAGCTGCCACTCACGCACCACAGTCACAATCTCTCATCACTGCCATGCTGCTCTCTCTCTAGCAACCGCCGATGCCATCCCCAACTGCAAAATGGGCGAGTCTGCACCCTCTGCAGACGCCGAATCCTCCGATGGCCCCTCGAAACCCAGCAAACGACACATCCCCCCGGACGTCGTCAACATTACTCCCATCGGTGACATCATTCTTTCCGTAACCTTCGAAACATCCACCGAGACACTCAGGAAAACCCGCAAGGCAGCCCTCTCTGCCTCCCGCAAAGCCAGCCTCCCCAATGGCCCATCCACGCCGCCACAGGTCTTGAAGCCCAAGGTCACCATCGCATACCGCGTACAGCTGGACATGCTCAAGACACACTCCCAGTACTTTGGCAACTTGCTCACAAACCCGCAATTCCGGGAAGCCAAACTCATTACCGCTGTCTATGCCGACTTAGCTGGCAGAAAGATAAAGACTTCAGAAGCAGATCCAGCTGAGCTGCCTCATGTGAAAATCACAGACGATGATGAGGCGACGCAGTCTGCGGGGAGGGAATCCGTATTTGAGGACATGCTTCGCATCATCCACCAGGTGCCTATCAAGACGACTCGCACGGTCATGTCGTATGCGACCACGTTGGCGTTGCTAGCAGATCGATTCGACTGCCGCGCCCCTGTGTCTCGAGCCCTCATGGAAATCAAGTTCAAGTGGCCCCTGACCAACACCCGCCCGTACCTGGATGAGTCGGGACGTGTGACGGAGACGGAAAAGGTCTTGCGTCAGAAGATTCTCGTGGCCTGGCTCTTGGGCCAGCCGATGCGTTTACACCAGGCCAGCAGGGAACTAGTCATTCGGGGCTCACGGCTCTGGGGCGTATACGGCGAAGAGGACGAAGCACAGGGCGCATGGTGGCATCTCCCGGAAGGCATAGAAGGTAATAACCCCCCCCCCCCCCCCCCCCCCCCCCCCCCATGCAGAAGAACTCCGGTACCGTCGAGAATGTATCCTGGACACCATAGCCTCCATTCAGCGCCACTTTCTTACCCTGTACGCTTCTCGTAATCGCCAGTGCAAGCTGGGGTACGATTCCAGCACCGCCTGCGACTCGTTCCAGTTTGGTCAGATGCTGAAATTTCTCCTGTCAAAGGATCTGCTGCACCTTGTGGACTTTTCGCCGTCGTCGGTAGACGACGTGCCGGATACGTCAATGGTGGATGTAGACGAGCTGCTGGGGACCTTGAAACAGTGTCCCAATTACCAGATTGACAAGCACCACACAAACTGCGGGCTGAGGATTCGAATTGATCCCATTCTAGACTATGTTAGGGCCATGGTAGGTGCGGGCGTGGTGGCAATTCCGCTGGCAGATTGGAAGCGAAGGAGGGCAGATGTTTCGTGGTTGAATGAGAAGGAGGGCTTGAGGAATGTCAGAGACGCGGAAGAGGGCTCCAATGCGTTTGCCTTTACGAGGGCCCTGGCGACCGATCAGAGGTTGAGATATGAGGGCGCTTTATATGCAGATGGGATGGCGAGGAGGCTGTTCACTGCGGATACATGGGACTGGACACCAGAGGCCTAATCCTGCGACAAGTCGTGGGAATTAGACTCTTCAAGGTTGCCAACTTTTTGGTATTAATGACTTGCTCAACTTGGATAGAACCACTATATATACGTCTAATTATTCATCCCCTGGCCACCAGTGGTGGAATTGTGTATTATGTGTTTGGGATTGACTACGCAGGGGTAGTCTTCTCCGTCACGTTCGTAGACTTGACAACTTCGCTCTCCTGCGGGCTAGAACTTCCACTGACGCTGTCCTCCCGAGCAGCGGGGGCCTTGGCCTTCATGAATGGCCAGTGGCCCTTGGTTTCCTTGAATCGCATGACGATGAAACCAGCTATTACAAAGATCCAGTAGACGTTGTAGGAAATGACCGAGCCATAGGTGGCGGAGTTTTGCCAACCGAGAATGGCGTTGAAGACACCCCAGCCGCCGTCGCTGGTGGAAGTGGGTGAGCAGCACTTGGTGACGGTCAGCAAACTGTTCCATTTGTTGACATGCATGATTGGGGGCTTTGCGTAGTCAGCTACTTACATTCACGTGCCAAACACTCTTGTCGATATCGTATGAACCTGGACCATTGCCAGTTTCTGAGGCATCACCGCCAATGGCATTGTTCCACTTTTGTGCCTCGAGATGCCAAACGCCACGGGAAAAGAGACCGGCAGCGACGAGATAAAGGAGACAGGTTGAGGCAACAAGGAAAATTTGCAGCTTGGCAGTAGAACCACCCCTGAGCACACGTTAGAGTGAGTTTCAATACCATAGTTTCCGGGCATCCCTTACTTGTACAAAAGGTAACCGATAATGCCGCCAACAAGGAGTCCGACGACGACGGGCAAGGGAACGGCATATGCAGGAGCTGAGAAGGTGACACCAGCAACAAACACAACAGCCTCAATACCCTCGCGAAGAACAGTAATGAAGGGCAGAACAAACATGGAGTACTTCTCCAGCCAGTGGGAGAAGCAGCCCCGGGAGCCGGCTTTGATGGGTGATTCGATAGCCTTGGCGAGTTTGACGCGCCATTTGGCTTGCATTTTGCCGATTCGAAGAAGGGCAGCACCCATCACTGTAATGATGACTGCGGCAAAGAGACAAAAAGCACCCTCGTAGTAGTTCTCATTTTTGTCCCAGGAATTGGATCCAACGGTATAAAAGACACCAATCAGGGCAGCGGCAACAACCATGCAGAGGAAGAATCCCGCAGCAACACCAAGCCATACCTATCACACGAAATTAGGGCTTGAAGACGGGACGAAAGTGCGTCAAACGTACCTGGCGGCGAAGTGCTTTGTATGTCCTTACATCCCGCTCAGGTCCATCGAGAGTCTGTTTGAGAAAAGCAAGCAATACAGACACAATGATGACCGTCTCCAGTGTCTCTCGAAAGACGACAAGAAAGATTGGCACTGAAAATACGTCCTTGGCCATGTTGAGGAACAGCCTTGTTGTGTTTGCCAGAAAGCGATCTTGCCCAACGAAAAGCTGCCTCTTGGGGAGGGGGGAATCAGATAAAAGAAGGCTAGGAATTTGTCGGCAGATGGAAACCTCCCAAGCCGGAGCACCACGAACGTGACAGGTAGAAGCTAGTAGTTGCAGGAATGCCAAGAGTCGTTTGACGGTCGCAGGGCACTAGGCGAGAGCCGAGACAGCCAAGCGGCCAAGTGATTGCCAAGAGACCCAGCGATGGACCAGCGATGGGCCAAAGATGGGGAATATTGTTTGGTCAAAGATTCGGATCAGATAACAACCATACAGCTGGTAAGTAACCTGAAATATGTCACATTAGTTACCTGATTGATTAGACAAGAAGCGAATCGGCCACGATCGGCCCTGGTCCCAAAGCAGCCCCTCCAAGTTGTCAGGCCACGGGCTGGGATAAATACGCCGTCGGTTGAGAAAAATCTTGTTTTGCTGCTCCGTTTTTATCAGTTAGCGCGGCAGCCACACGGCAAAAGAGTGCCGGCGAAATTGGGTCGAAATTGTTGGAAATATTGGACGCACCAAAGGGGGCCAAAATCTTGATAGTTGGCACACGAGATGGGAGTTGCACAAGAGATCCATCCTTTTGGGCAACCCGAGCCGAGAGACGAGTGGCACATGTATAAATCTCTGTTGTCATAAATAACGGCCCAATGTCTTCCGACGCATTGCTAATGAAGATGGGGGGGGCTGGGTGGTTGTAGTCGATGTAACACAACAGACGCACCGAGGGACGTGCCAACAAGATCAATGATGCGAACGCAAAAAGTTTGGCGCCGTCTACATGCACAATTGGGAATGCACATGCCGCCTACCGCGCCAGATTCTCTGAAAGCGGGGATGAGAATTTTCAGGCATTTTCGATTCGCAGAATGTGTCTCGGGACCGCTTCGAATTGCCCCTCTTGGGGCGGCAAAGTTCCCAGCCTTGGACAGAAAATGACTCTCTGCCACATGGCCCCCCTTGCCATGTGCGCCAAGGTATCATCAGATAATCCCTTGCATGGGCCCAGAAAACATCTGTTAAAGTGGTGATGCTCTTTAAAGGCTTTTGCTTCATCTTTGGTCTCCGTCCTGTCAATCTAGCAAGTCGATGCCTGAGTTTTCTACAGTTAGCCATGGCGCCATTGATCCGCTTATCAGATGGGGTCGTTGACTTTCAGCTAAGGTTATCAATCAATCAATCACAATCAATCAGGCCATGGGCCAGGGATAATCGACTTTTCTTCGTCAGGTGAGGAACCAAGCAGCCTCTCCTCGGTTTGGCGTTGCAAAAGTTGCGCCACATCCAATCAAGGAGTCAAGAGAACGCCATCGGCGGGAGGATTCAACCCTCGACCCCTCATGCAATCCGAGCTCGCTTTTGGGAAGGTGTGGACAGAAGGGCTTGAGCATAGTATGATCGTGCTGCATTGACGTCGGTAGCCAAAGTTGGCTAGCTGATACTGTTCTGCATTGTCCGCTTGTCGAGATCGGGCATCCACCGGGATCAAGACTATTGCATTTTCAGCCCTGGCTCGGTCCAATATATCGGGGTGGTGGTCCAACAGAGGAGACAGGCCGGTTCGGCTTCGTATCTGGGAATCCCGGCTAATTTCTGCGGCCTGAATCAGTTGAGGAATGGGCGAGAAGTGATCTTCTTATCCATCTGAAGGAGAATTCCGTTCGGAGTCAAAGTTGAGCAGACTTGACTACAAGCATATGACTGCAGCCAGGGTACATCTCGGGCGGTCGCTCTTTCCTTCCCACCTGTGCGCATTGGGCCAGCTGTGAGCTTATTTCTGCAAGTGCTCCATTCCATGATTAGGAAGGTGCGACTGCGCTAAGTCTGTTGTCAAATACACCCAACACCGTGAGCCTCGCATGAGCAAAGTTCTCCGTGCTTGAGCACGTTTTCCCCCAGATTATCTTGAGCAACATCCTCAACTACCGAACGAGGTAAAACTCTGGATCTCGATGGCGGGTCTTGTGCGATTGACAGCCGCCTTGGCTGCATCACTGAGCTTGGCGTCAGCAGCGACCATCAACCACGATTTCAACGTGACCTGGGTCAGGGCCAACCCTGATGCAGCGTTTGAACGACCAGTTATTGGCATCAATGGAAAATGGCCGATTCCTAGAATTGAGTGCAATATCGGAGACCGGCTAATTATTAATGTCAATAACCAGCTGGGAAACCAGTCGACGTCGCTGCACTTTCACGGCCTATTTCAGAATGGGACCAACAACATGGACGGCCCTTCGGGCGTCACCCAGTGCTCCATCCCTCCGGGCAGCTCATTCACTTACAACTTTACCGTAAGTCGAGCAGTCGAGAAATCCTATCTTCACGTGTATGAACAAGCACACTGAAACTAAGCCCCAGGTCAACCAACCTGGCACGTATTGGTACCACTCTCACAATGATGGCCAATATCCTGACGGTCTCCGTGGACCAGTCATTGTCCATGATCCCGAGTTCCCGTACAAGAAAGAAGTTGATGAAGAAATCGTCCTAACGCTTTCCGATTGGTACCATGATGAGATTTCAACACTCATCCCAAAATTCATTAGCAAGACAAACCCAACTGGAGCCGAGCCCGTTCCCAACGCTGCTCTCATGAACGACACTCAGAACGTAACCATTTCTGTCCAACCCGGCAAGACGTACATGTTCCGTGTCGTCAACATCGGTGCCTTTGCCGGCCAGTACCTCTGGTTCGAGGGCCACAAGATGCGAATTGTTGAGGTTGATGGCGTATACACCAAGGACGCTGAAGCTGAAATGATTTACGTCTCCGCCGCTCAGAGAGTGAGCTTCCTTCTGACGACCAAGAACGACACATCTGCAAATTTTCCCATAGTCGCAAGTATGGACACGGTAGGTTCGCATCCTACCTTGTAATATGGCGGCATGACGGCAACTAACTGGAATCGCATAGACTCTGTTTGATGTGCTCCCCCCTGAGCTCAACTACAACTCCACCGGCTGGCTCAGCTACGATAAATCCAAAGACTATCCGGCCGCTGCTCTCGTAGACGAGCTAAACCCCTTCGATGACATGACGCTCGAAGCCTACGATGGCATGGAACTCCTCCCAGAGCCCGACCGAACCGTGGAGCTTAATGTCATCATGGACAACCTCGGTGATGGTGCCAACTACGCCTTCTTCAACAACATCACCTATGCGTTGCCCAAGGTCCCCACGCTCTACACAGCCCTCAGTGCCGGTGAAATGGCCAACGACCCCAGGGTATACGGCGAATACACACATCCGTTTGTCTTGAAGAAGAATGAGATTGTCCAGATCGTCGTCAACAACCTCGACAGCGGTCGTCACCCGTTCCATCTCCACGGCCACAACTTCCAAGCCATCTACCGCTCAAACGAGTCTGCAGGTACTTTTGCAGATGAAGGTGGAGAGACGGACAAGACGTTCCCCAGGGTGCCCATGCGCCGAGATACAATGGTCATTTGGCCCGAAGGGAACATGGTCCTGCGATTCAAAGCCGACAACCCAGGTGTGTGCGATTACCATAACCCCCCAAAGTTCAGACATGTTAACTCAACGAGTAGGAGTCTGGTTGTTCCACTGCCACATCGAATGGCACGTCGTTTCCGGCCTCATCGCGACCTTTGTGGAAGCGCCGACCGAGCTGCAAAAGACGCTCTCCATCCCACCCACTCACCTCCAGGCGTGCCAAAAGGGCAATGTTGCCACTGAGGGCAACGCGGCAGCCAACACAAGGGACCTCCTCGATCTCAGCGGCCAGAATGAGCCCCCCGCTCCCCTCCCAGCTGGGTAAGCTTCTCCGTCACAATCCCTCGACACACCCTGCCATCTCATATCTATGCATGGCCACTAACAACCCCAGATTCACACCCCGAGGCATCGTAGCCCTAGTATTCAGCTGCGTAGCAGGCCTCCTTGGTGTCGCCGTCGTAGCATGGTACGGCTTCTCGCAGGCCGTCGAAGAAGCCCCCGGGGCTGTAACCAGCATCATCCGCAACGCAGACATATCCGAGTCCGACAATAGCCAGATTGTGTCCTCCAGTACCAATGCCGGCAGAACTACTACCTAGCATCATCTAGCATGAACAGGATTTTTCAGGAAAAAGAAACCATGTACGTAATGGAGGTTGGATTGATTGATTTTTAGCACTCATATTGCAATATATCCATATGAAGCCTTTCGTTGAAACCCCCCCTCTCCCCTTTCATTAGTGCTTATGCCAGCGGCGATAAAAATACTTCCCATGGAAAAGAAAAAGGCTAAAGTTGGGCAACGGCCCTAGAAGAAGTAAATAGTAGCAAGCCATTCCCCCTTATGAAGAAGCGAACAATAGCGAAAGACTCTCCCTGTAATTAAGATAAATAGGACCAATAGCCATTGTTTTCCGTACAAAGCCCAATATTGATCTGCCCAAGAAATAGATCCGACGTAAAGATACAAAATATGTGCCTTATAGGGACCCTCGGAACATATTGCCTTGTGTTTAGACTAAATCCACCCAAAGCCGTGGAGTCTGCATATGCCATTGCATTATACCACGATCCATCAACCACTCCAAGTTTCCAGACGCCAATTCATGCAGTTAAAAAAAGTTGGTGGGACGCGCTCTGTCGTGCCACCGCAGCGAAAGTCAAGTGTTGCGCACGATTCCTGCCTTCAAAACAGGCATCTCTGCGCCACCAGGGAAGAGAAAGTGTAGATGTCCTCAGGTGCCTCCATGTCTATGGAACCTAGACCAACCACATACCACCCCGCCAAGACCAAACGAGGTCCGCACACCGCTCATCTGTGTCGTAGGATTCTCAGTCGTCGTAGACGCCTGCACCGTGTCAAAATCGTCTCGTATGCAGCCAAACTATACACGTTTGGCCTTATTCTTGCGGGGAAGGCCCTTCTCCTTGCGCATTTTGATATCAACATCGGCAAGCCACTTGCTTGCGTTGTATAACTGGACTCCGTTGATAGCCTGCTTAATAACCATGAAAGGCAAGCTGATACCAGCAATAGCCCAAGGAATAAGAGAGTCCATCTTGTTGGCACGGGCAATTTCTAGCGCAGAGGCGCTAAAGGGGTCGGGGAACATCTGTCGGAGCAGCGAGGTGTTAACTGGAGCACCGGGGTTGATGAAACCACCACTGGTCTCTTCGACGCTCTTGATCAGGTGGGGAGACAGCCAAGGAGACGAAAAGGCCAGAAGGTAAAGGCCGATGAAGAAGAGCTCATTGAGAGCGCACAGAGTAAACAAGACATTCTGCGGAACATATCCTTAGCTCATGCTCTCAATATCACGGTCCACGATATTGGTTTTTGCCTACCTTGTTGGTGTAGTACAAGTTAAGGAGCCAGTTCTGACTCTTGTCAATGTTCTTGTGGCTCGAGTCGGAGCCGCCGACGACGAGAGTGGCATACATGTGCATGTAGTGGCTAGAGAAGTCGAGCGCAATCAGGCCCTGAAACAGAATAGCCCATCTGGGGAAGGCAGAAGACAGAAAGACGAGCAGACATGAGGTTGTGCAGCGATCAGTAACCATGTCAAGGACGGCACCGAAGCGAGTAGACTGTTCGAAAATGCGGGCAGCATAGCCATCGAATGCATCCAACAGGCAGGAGATGCTATAGAGGACCGAGCACGTTCGCGGGTGGACGGGCATGTAGTATAGGGAGGCGATGGCGAGGACGATACGGATGTAGCCTAGAGATGCGCGAGCGTTAGCAATCGCCCAAGAATGCAAGCACAAGGCATCATGGAGCTGCGAACCGATAATATTGGGCCAGAACAGAAAGATATTCTCATCTTCCTCGATGTCCGTGGCTTCCGGAGTGTGGTGAGCAGAGCCATTGCCATTCATGATGATGGGCTTCTGATCGTCATCGGATGAGGCAGCAGCTGCAGCAGCTTCGCGCAGCTTGGCAGATTTCCTTCGGGTCTGACGGGTAGACATTTTTGCGGTGCAATTGTTGCAAACTGCAAAAGAAAGAGAATGCTTTGCTAGGGGCGTCAATAGGGATGTCGAGAATACCGTACGATGGCAACTGACATGATGCGACGGCAGAGGTGTCCGCGTGGCAGGGTTTTATTCTCGTTTCGAGGTCGGCCGGGAGAGCTGGGGATGCGCGACCGAAGGGGCCGACAGGGTCCTGGGGGTGACGACGCAAGCAGGACAGCAAAGAAAAAAGTCGAGCTTCCGCCAAAGGAGGAAGACGAAGAAAAAGGAGACGGTATACTTTGGAAATGATGCTTGAAAGATCCGAGTTCAGGACAAAAACGGCACCGGTAGTCGGCAGGAAGGAGCGGATGAGAAGGAAGAAAAGCCAAGAAGCCAAAGTGCGATAAGGAGAGGAGCGGCGTGGTGGTCGGAGGCAATTTACAAGTGGGTTCAGGATTGAATTGTCCAAGGCCCCGAGCAAAGCTGGTGATGACGGCAGCTGCCGCCAAACTTTCCAGCCAGTCCCAATTAAACCAGTCTGAACAAGGCTGTTGGTCTCAGTCTTGAAAAATCTCCAAGTGCTCCTTGGCCCAAGGTGCCACATGCAGGGCCCACTTGAGCACCCGCGGAGCCTCTTGGGTTTAGCCCAAACTAGACTGGCACGCTTGTCGCCTTGTTAGTACATTTGCTGTGCCAGATGTCTGCAGCCTCCTGAGTCCATTGCATTGACCTCAAAACCAACGACTACTCCCGGGTATTTCCAGCGTCACATCTTCTGTGCTCCAGGACGAGTAAGATGTTTTTTTTCGAGCTGCCTATTGTTACAATCAACTGCCCGTATCTCAACTGTGACGTTTTTTTTTGTATGTACTTCCAGAGGCTCTCTTCCACCTCTCCTCCCCCTTATGAGCATCCACGCACTTTGCACGTTCAGTTTTCACGCGCGTGCCGAGGTCTGTTCGGAGACGCATCTCACCACCATGGCCGTCTTGATTGGCCATTCGCAAGCTTGGCCGTGGAACCCTTAATGCGCAGCTCAAACTGTTCCAGGTCAAACTGGTCATCATTTCACTCTTCTATGACAGGCTTGGGGCGGCCACAAGGGTGAGGTGTCTATCTCCGCCTCTAGTCAGCGGCTAACCACTTCTCTCCGCGGTGGCCCGTCGATAAAGGTGCGCGATATTTGAGTCCGACGTATCCAGCATCGCAACGCAGGATGAGATGCGATTGACGCTGGTCCATACTCGGGGTAGACTCGCATGCAGATACCGATAAGGACAAGCAGATAAGGGTTTAAGCTCGGCCCGGAATTTTAACACCAGAAAAGCACCTTCGGGGAGACGCGGCTCATTTGAGTTCGGCATGTAGAAGAGCATATTGCAAACATCTGCCACTCCCCTCGTCCCCAGAAAGGTCGCTGTGGAGCAATTACGCCATAGAATGGATGCCGTGATGTCGACTACATCTCCTTTGGTCAGACCATATGGGTGTGTTTTCAGTCTACCAATGCGACTTACTTTGCGGGCAATTCGGGGCCCTCGCCGAGGCGGCTCAGACAAGGGTCATGCCAGCCAGTTAGTTAATGCTTGATTCTCCCGGTCCCGACATGTTGTGATGTGTCATGGTGGCCAGGGATGGCGGTTGACCGTCATGCCAACAAGAATGTGAATTTGGCCTTGGTTTTCGAAGCAACTAGTTTCTAACCAGCGCCTATTCTGCCCTCAGCAAACAGTAGCGCCGGCACAGTGTTGGGTTTGGACCGAAGCTTGATTGTTTAGCTAGGAAGCTAAAATTATATGCTTAAAGTACATTTAGCTGGCGGTATTATGCTGTTTATTAAAATATTCCCCAAAAACTACACCAGGTTTTTGGAAGATGTTTGCAGATACAGCCTCCTTGATAGGAGGACGTGCAGCTAGTCTATCACACAGTCAACTTGACAGGGTATAGATAGACGGCCGAAAGGTTCCTCCTGTACTTGCAGCACCATTTCATAAGAAGCCAGAAATCCTACAGTAGCTACGATGAACACAAGGACTGAAGTACTCTGTATCAACGCTAGACAATATTTTAGGAAGTGAAACGGGGATGCCAGGAACAAACGAAGATATACTCAAGTAAACGGCAAGGAAGACAAGCGTCACTGGTGTAAAAACTGCATGTCAGTTGAGGCTGGAGCGACGCAAGATGCTCCATAATTCGTAGACAAATCCTCTGACGATTGTTGCGGTCAACTCGCAAGACCCCAATCAGCCACCATCAAATCAAGTCCTTGTTCCTTGCGGACGGAAATTTAGGTTCTATGAAACTCGCCGTAACACTTCCCCTACTACTTTGACTTGCATAATAGCACAGTTCGGGATATCCATCTTTGCTGCATTTGTCGCATTTAACTAGACCTAATCCTTGCTCTCTTCTTTCGCTAGTGCAGCGCCTTACATCAGTAGAAAAGGGCAGCCCGCTCGGCTGACCAGCCTGCCGCGGCACACACGGCGCGCTGCAATTATAGTTGACCATTTGACCCTTTGATATACTATAAATTCTATAATGTCAGTATTTCTACCTACAAAATAGTCTTTGATTGAATTGGCTTTATATGCCCAAGTAAAAGGGCTAGTGATCTTCCCACCGATTTTATTTTTAATATAAAAATCCCTGCACTGGATGGTCGACGCGTCGACTTGGCAACGCGTCAATCGCGTCAACCTTTGCGTGTTAGTGAATTTCAATGTTCTTCGTTTGACGACTGGCTGCTCCTTCCCTCTGCACATCTGGGTCTTGTTTTCCCCGCAAGCAGACAATCATGATATCAGACCAAGAATCTGCTGCGGCGATGGTGCCTGCGGCAGAAAACAACTCGGCACGACCCAGCGCTGTCGTCGAGACTCCCGAGGGCAACAATCCGGGCGTTGACGGCTACGACGTCGGGCTCATGGACGACCTTCTCAGCGCTCTCTCAAGCATCAAGGCCCCAGGATCCTTCGCCTCGTTCGGTGTCCTGCCTCAACCGCCGCCTGCCGGCCTGTTCGTCGACGACGTAGGCGACATTACCATGCCCCTGAGCGAGGTGCAAGCCCGCCAGCTGATCGCAAAGGCTCGCCAGGCGCCATACGGCAAGGGGAGCGCCACCATCGTCGACACTGCTGTTCGGAATACGTGGGAGTTGGACTCAGGGCAGTTCAGGTTCCAAAGCCCACATTGGCCGGGCTTCATGCGGCATTTGTGTGCCCAAGTCGCCTTAAATCTAGGCATTAATGCCCCCATCACGGCGCAGATTTACAAAATGCTCATCTACGAGAAGGGTGCCATGTTCAAGGCACATACCGAGTACGTTCTCCTAGGATCTCGATAGCCATGGTCGCCGTCAGACTGACTGGAAACACTACGCAAGCACCGAGAAGATTCCTGGCATGTTCGGCACCCTCGTCGTTTGCCTGCCGTCAGCCCACCAAGGCGGAGAGGTAGTTCTCAAGCACTGCGGCCAGAAAAAGGTTTTCAAGACATCTGAGGCCCCTCAGTCCTTCGCCTCGTGGTACTCGGACGTGTCGCACGAGGTGCTGCCCGTCACCTCGGGCTTCCGATGGGTTCTGACTTACAACCTTGCTCTTCACTTGACTGGGCCTGGTCCGTCGGCAGGCTTACCGCAGTTTGAGACGGGAGCGCTCCGTCGCACTCTCAAACGGTGGCTCAGCGAGCCCAAAGAGTCGCGCGAGACCAACTGCGTGTACCACGTGCTCGACCACGACTACACTGAAGCCAATATTTCGCTAAAGGCGCTGAAGACGCGAGATTTGGCGCAGGTCCATTCCCTGAAGGAGATATCCGGGGAGTTGGCGGTTGATGTGTTCCTCGCACTACTAGAAAAGGAGGAGATGGGAAGCTGCGAGCACGACCCCTATGAGGACAGGTACGACGGATTTAGGAGATATAATCGTTCTTACTACGACGACGACGACGGTTACGACGACTACAACGATGATGAATCCGGCTATCACCATCTTGAGGAAGTTTTTGAGACGAAGTATGCAGTGAAGACCCTCGTCGACTTGCAGGGCCGTGTGGTGGCGACGCGTTTGCGCCTCGATGAACAAGACATCCTCCAAGAAGACTGCTTCGAGGACCTTGAAGCGGAAGAGGAGTACGAAGGTATATGGGAAACTCTGTGTGTCTCTATTGGCTGTTCAATCCCCCTTAGTTCCAGAATTACTGGTAACAGCTGGACGTATTAACGATATTTTCTTTTTCAGGGCCCAACGGCGACGCACTGGTATCGAGTGACGGTTCGTCACCCCTTATTCCCCATATTCGCCGTCTCTAGTCACCACTCACTCAAGTATTTAGGCCGCTGTCATCGTTCCCCGTGATTCGCTCCTGTCCTTTTTTGATACCTACGATATGAATAGATACTGTTCCCCCTATCACAATTTCAAGACACAGGTCCGGTATTTGGCCCGAGCATGTTTGCAACCACAGCCCCCCAAGTCTTTCATCAATGCGCTGGTAATTTTATCTCAGCAGGCGTGGAACATCCGCCGCACGACCATCGGAGGTTTTGGCGCACAGGAACCGTGGATCGATGGGGACGGCATACGGGACGTTCTTACGGCTGCCATCCAGCACGGAAAATATAACTTCTTTCAAGAGGCTGCTGGCCATCACGAAGGTCTTCTGCCACCAGAGTTCTTTGTCTGGATGCGGCAGTGGTTGCTTACTGGCGATAGCAATACTAATGAACGTTTTAATGTTATTCAAAGCGGGTATGCTTGCTAGATCATGTGGCCCTTTCGAGAGCTAACTATAGTAGGATATCTGCTGCCATTTCCTCCTATCCTTACTTCGCCGATCAGTTTACCGCCATCACGAGATTGGTATCCATGTCAAGCGACGATTTGACTCCTGACACCGCTGCTACTCCTGATTATATTCTAGATTGGGCTCGTGGAAAACTCCGCTCTTGCATGGATGTCTGCGCTTCCGAGTCTCTGGGCCGCGAAGATGGGCCTGCCATGGTGGAT